GTGGGTTTCAAACATTGTAGGTTGCTATTTAAGTCAAATTTGGAAATATTTTTTAAGTTACAAGGAAAAGAGGTTTATTTTGGCTCACAGTTCTGGTCCAAAGCCCTATTTGGTCATGGTCATCTTGCTAGCAGAACCCTGAGGAGCATAACATGGCAAAAGACAGAGAGTACACAAGAGACCAAGCCGTACTGGCAGCTATCTATAGTGGAAATAATTTTTGCTTCTAATAATAACTTCAAGTAATTTGCTTGCTTTCTCTCAGACTTGTTTTTCACCTAGGTTGTCAGTCACAAGGCTGTTTATTTGTAATCTTTTTTCTGAGTTTCAGTTTAGATAAGTTGTAGTGATTTTCCTTTAAGTTCATCAATTTTTTCTTTTATTCTATCTACTCTACTTTTAATCCCCCTCCAGTAGATTTCCAATTTGAGATTTCAGGGTGCTTTAATCCTAAAAAAATTTCATGTGGGTCTCTTTTTTTAGTTTCCAGATCTTCTGAAATGCCCATAGAGTAACCATAATATTCATGTTTTCTTACACTCTTTAATGTATTCATCATTCTTATTTAGAGTGTTTGTTCTGTCTTTTTCTATTGAATTGTTACTTTCAAAGCTATGAGACACTTTCTCACATTTTTGTATTTTTCTTCCCATTTGTGTACACACTAGACTGGATGATACACTGCAGACTCTCCAGGTTAATCTTCCTATAAAAGTAGCTGCCTTTCCTAGCAGTTAACAGGTGGATCACCTTAAACCTGGGGAAACTTGGCTTATGCATTGTCAAGATGGGGCTCTTTTGATTTTACCTTTTGTTCTAGGGAAAATTAATGAATTTTAGATGTAGTATCTATTTCCAAGGCATAGATCCTCTGGAGTTTTCATGGAAAGATGGGATTTCTCAAGCCCCTATAGCTGAGTAAGTCTAAACTCAAAGCTTTTATTTCTCGCATAATGGACAGAAGCTAGAATAATTGCTCCACTCTTTCAGTCTTCATCACCTCTTCTCTTTTTAGGGTCTTTGGAGCCTTCCTCACATAAGCACTCACAGTTCAGGAGTCAGCAAGGATTTTTTTGGGAAATATTATTCTCCTTCTACTGTGGCTGCATTGTGGCTGCATTGCACCACAGGAAGCAACCCAAAGGGAAAAGTATAGTTGCTTTGTTTAAGAGTGAAATTCCTCCAGTTTCTGTGTACTTTCAGACACTTCAGTGACTTTAAAAGTTTTTGTTTCAGTTTGGTTTTTCCTCTTTTCTTCAAAATTTACCAAGCTGCTCTGACATTATTGGAATTTGAAACCCCTTTACATTTAAATTGCCTAGGAACTCACTCTTGGGCACTGAAATTATTTATTATTTTTTCTTCCCCAATTAAGTCAATCAAGTATGTCAAAGTATTAGAATATTTGGAATCAATGTGCCTTGTTTTCGGTCTAGTTTATATGCAAGAAAAAAGATTGAACGAACACACAGAGTGTTTTCAACATAACCTGGCAAAAGAGTGTTATGGTTTGGATGTCATATGTCACCCAAAGATCCACGTATTCAGGGTTTTTTTCCCCAGGGTGAGACTTTTGTAAGGTGTGGAAACTTTAAGGTCTAGTAGGAGCCCATGAGGTCACTGGAGGCGTGTTCTTGAATACATAGTAGAAGCCTGGCCTCTTCCTTGTTCTTTTGAAGTTGTACCTCAAATTCTTAGAGGGGAGGCAAATGACGACTGAGGGTATAGTCTAGTGAAAGCAATAGAATCTTTCTGGGGTTTGTGGTAGCCCAAATTTTGCTTGGCCACCTTAAAGCAGATATTGTTCAGTTCTAAGGCTGTATCTTAACAAGAACAAAGGCTCTTCATCCTCCAGAAGGTGGTTGCAGTTTTAGGAAAAGTTGCAATCTCAGTCTTTTGAGCAAACTTTTCTAAAACATGAAGGTTGCCAACCAGTCTGTTTATTTTTCAAATATTGCGCAGGCCAAATGAGGCACATCAGGCCATTGCTGTACTCCTAATCCAAGATGTTCCCTGAGTTGTTCTACATGAAGTCTCAACACTAAATCCTCCCACTCCTTCCTTCTGCCCAGTTTTTCCTTCATTCCTTGTTAACATAGTAGCTTTTTAAATGTTTTTCTGCCCAGGAATGCATGTAACTTCTCTTTCTCATTTGTAAAACAAACTTTTCCACCTTTGTGTACACCTCAAACCTCCTTCAGTTCCTCTCTTTAGCTCCTATCCACCACTGGACCCAGTATAACCTGGTTTATGTGGTTGCCCACACTGAAAGTGCTCTGTGAATGTCACCAATCAATAATCTTCTCACCAGGCACCTAGATTGTTTTCTTAAGGGGGTTTTTGTCACTGTCTCTCTTGATTTTCCTTTTGTTGATCCACCCAGTCCTTCCAAAGGCCCCTTGCCATCCTATCTCCTTTATTTTGTTTGTTTGTTTTTTTTTATTTGGTACTGTGGCTTGAACTTGTTTGTTTATTTATCTGGTACTGTAGTTTGAACTCAGGGCCTCCCACTTTTGAGGCAGGCACTCTACCACTTGAGCCACTCCACCAACTCCCTGCTTCCTTTTAAACATTAAAATTCAGTGTTTTGCCTTCATTTTTGTCTCCTTTATACATTTCTTCTGAACAATCTCATTTGGGATCATAGCTTTTACTATTACCAACACTACAGTTCCAAACTTTGCTTCTCTAGATTAGTTCTTTTATGTTTACAAGAACTTGCTGGAATTTTCCACAGGTTGGGCTGTAGGTACCTCAAAGTTAATGTACTTTTTCCCTCCTAACCTTTTTACTCTGCTCAAAATCTCTGCTCCTTCATCCTATTTTCTACTTCAATTGACAGTCAAACAAAACACCCAAATCAGAAACCTATGGATTTTATGCAATACTTATATCCTAAGTATGTCTCTTCCTTTTCACTTCCATTGTTACTGTACAGGATTAAGCCCTTATTACCACTCTTTTTGGAAGTAATATGAAATATTATCTCCCCTACCCACCTTTTAAACAATTTTAATGGGTTTCATTATTCTATTTTCATACATGTGTATGAAGTATTTCAATCATATTTAGCCTCCTCCACCTCATTTCTCCCCTCCCTCCCCAGTTCTCACCATCAAGTAGTCCCCCCACACTTTACAATTGTGTCCTTTTTTCCCCTAGGTCTATATTTTGCATATGAGAGAACACATGATAAAATTTGTCTTTCGTAGTCTGACTTATTTCACTTAACATGATGATTTCCAGTTCCATACTTTTTCTTCAAGGAAATTTTAACATTAAATTTCCTTTGCTTCTTTTGTTCCCTTTCTTCTAATAACTAATGCTCTTAAGAATGTGAACTTTTAGAGAGTTGTGTCACCAGGTTGAGGTCACTCTTTTGGTGAGTTATTATGGCAACACAATAACAAAACATTGTAGAAGGAAATGATAAAGTCCATACACAAAGGTGGCACCATATGCTCAAGTTTATTGTACAGTCACAAATTACAAGTTGGAAACTAAGCAGAACACTGTACCAGTTTCACTAACTCTAACCAAGTTAGCAAATGAAAGATTTGAGAATAGACTCATTTTATGTCCCACCCAATGTGGGTGATCACGACAAAAGCTAAACAAAGATACTTTTTATGTTACTTAGGTAGCAAGTTAATTAGATATACACAGCTTTCAAGTTACCTTAAGATATTTCAAAGTGTTTCAAACCTGGTAAAGATTATTTCATGTCCAGCCTGAAATAAAATATAGAATGGAACCATTTAGGGGTAAATAACTTCACTTGTGCATCCACAGCAGAATCAGTCTTCCTTGCTAACAAAAATACTAATAAGTTTTGGTTTATATTAGACTTACTAAATTAATGATGACTTTGATATTATCTAAGTTTGGTTAGACTGTTATATTGCACTTGAGAACAATGACAACAAAAATTTAAGTTTCAGTACCTCTCTCAAGAACTCCATTACATATCAGAAATTACATGAAGTATAAGTGTATATTGCATACTGTGTATCCACAGGCTCACTGTTCAAATGAGCCAAACAAGTTAAAAGGAACATTTCCAAAGCACTAAGTATCAAGTAATTTTATTTACCACTTTGGATTTCATAATCAATTTTCAAATTTTTTATTTTTCTTACTTATCACATTACTATGTATACAAGCTATCCAAGAGTACAAACAAGGTGACTCTAAGAAAGGCAATTCTCATACAGGTAACCCAAGAACAACTTATCCCTTTCCATCAGTTCCTCACTACGTTCTACAGCACAGGAACATCTATCAGCTTACAAAAAACAGCTGATCTGTTACATACTACACTTTTGTCATATAAATTTCTCCTTTTGGGTCATGATTCAGTATCAAAAAGTCTTTCATGGCTCTCTTAAAAAGGCAGGCAAAGTCTTATTTACTAATATTTGAACTTTTTTCTTTATATAAATATAAATACTATAACCATGAAAATTAACTGTGAATAAGTAATTTCATAACATAGATTGAATCAGGAAAATAATATTTTGACCAACTGTTTTTACCTTTCAGAAGCATTAAGATCTTAATCAGAATTATGATAATTAGTCATGAGAAGGGTAAAGTGAAGAAAAAATGGCCCTCACACAATTATTTCTGAAAACGTCAATTCTGAAATAAGTATATATCCATAAGAAATCAGTAACGGCATCAGTATTTCTTGCCCTTGTCAAATGCATTTATTATCCTTTGGCTCAATCAAGTTTTAAATAAATTGAACCCAATTATGAGCACTTTACACTTTATATGAATTTTAATTTTCAATAAATCACAAATACAGTAGGTTTAGTATGTTTGGAGATTAACATGGATTTTATAGGACTACTTTTGATACTTTGTCAAATATACTCCTATTCTACTTTAAGATAAAAATAATCTCAACATTTTCCTCAAGTTTCAAATTATAGTCCATATTTTTGTAGAGATATGAATTTTAACTTTTTGAAAGAAAATCTGTACTATTGCTTAGGATAAAGTTCATAAAGATAATTTAAAACATGTTAATTTCCAATTATAGCATTTTTCAATCTGCAGTAGATTATTCCTTGAGATACAAGACATAAAAGGAACTGACTGTGTAAAAGCCAATGCTAATTCTTTTGTCAAAGAGTGAATTTCTATACATCTATTTTTCAGGAATGATGGCTATTAGGTGGGGAAACAGGTAAGGTAAAAGCTGCTATAGACCAACTTAGTGACTGTTTGGTGGTAGGTAACACTTGGCCCTAGGACAATATTTTTCTTAACAAATTTAAATTTATTGGTAATAAAAATACTTATTGGATATGACTAAACCTTCAGGACACTAATAAATTCTATAACCCCAAACCCATGAATTTTAAAATTCACTAATGCTAAATATAGGCTCTAGTCTATGTTCTAACTGGTATGACTCAACTAAATGTGCTTCTGTTTAAGAACATATTCTCCAGATTAGCTCAGCCACTTGTGCATGGAATGGTAGCACAAGATATGGCAGCACAAGATATGGCGAGATTCATTTTAATTATTTTTAAAACATGGAGAAATAGTCAATTACTTAAGAGAAATATTTATCATTGCCGAATGAGGACAGCAGTCTCAACATAGACTGCACAATGTGATGTAACTGCCCAGGAACAGGTATAATGATAGCCATCTCCAGGCCTGCAGGAACTCTGAATAAATCATATTCCACCAGAAGATTCACCACCCTATATCTTGCCTGCTTTTATTAAAAACTACACTGCTATATAACTATACTGCTTTATTAAAAATTCCTAAAAAGTCATTTATGTTAACAAGCCTAAGAAAGTTTTCAAAGATTTTCAATAACCTGAACTACTTACAGAAATACCTTTTAGCAGTTATTCTGATAGATGAGACTGGTTTTTACACACTACCTTGCTTAAACTGAGGTACTAGCCAATGAGTAGCACCATGCTATTGCTAGAAGCAAACCAGTAAGCTACCTTAAGAGGTTTGACTCCAAGCATTTTTCATGGGGTAAAAGGGAGGAATCCGGGTTCCTGAACGTTGTAAAATGATCTTGACCCATTCTCAGTTTTGTAAATGTAAGGAAAAATGCATGTATAGGAGTAAAATAAATTAATACCAACTAAAGACTCTGTTCTAATCTACAAATACACACTATTAATAAGAAATTACATCAAAGAACTACAGTCTTTCGATTAAAATGCTTCTTTTTTAATGTATTGTACATACATGGATGAAAACAAAGGAATAGATGTACTTTGAAAATGATTCCCAATTCCATATGGCTTTAAGCATCATTATATTTAGCTAAAATTAAACTACTACACAAAAAAGCCATTTTCAATCACAGAATGAATTTCTAGTATAGGTCGGATTAAAGGATTTCATGAAGAACTTAAGTTATACAAGTTAAAAAGTAATAAAATAGATTTCAGATCAAATATAAATAAAAATTTAATATACCTAATTTTCATATTAAAATATTGTACCATTATCATTAGAGGGAATACTTTCTCCTCAGTGCTGGGGACTGAACCCAGGACCCCTATACATGCTAAGCATGTATTCTACCACTGAGCCACATGCCCAGGGAAGAATTTTGATGGCATCATGCATTTTTTAAAAAGTTCCACCATACACGTGGTATTAAAATTGAAGTTCATGTAATTACAAAGTCTTTAGTAGCTTGAAAAGTCAACTGTAGTGTACTGTGTATTAATGTTAAGTACCTGAACAAAACTACCGACGCTAAGGCCTAAATTTGGATTATTTTAAAACTATAATTGCTTTAAGATAACAACAACAAACAGCAAAACCCAACAAACTAAATCAGAAACAGGAATTATAGGAGTACTGTTTCATATGAAGTAGTAACTACCTGTCTTATGTACACTGAATAAGAACCATCACTTAGAATTTCATTAAATACCTAAAAACACAAGTCACTGTATGTGTACTAAACATATGTCTGAACACTTCTGAACTTATTTATAAAGAGAAAGTTGACAAATATTGCTCTCAATTTTGTGGTTAGCTGAGGTCAGTGGGTTCCATCAGCAATACCAGTCTGGGAATTTTATTCCTCATGAAGGAAATTTAAGTGTATACTTAAGTTGGTAATTCTAATGGGTGAAGATGTGACATAACTTAAAAAATCACAGTTAAGTTTCTGAGTTTCCTTCACCATTTTCATGAGGTTGAAGTTGTTCCCTTTCTTGTTCTTCTTGAGGTGGTCGGACACGTTTAAAAAAGCCCATCTGTCAGTTGAAGAAAAGGCAACATTATTTTCACATCAGTATAGAATATTAAAAATATTCTTGAATGACTATGTTATCACCAAGAAAATTTAAATTGGCCCTTTGTACAAGATTTCTCTTCCCTCAAATAGTAAGTAATACTCATATCATTATAGGACCTTCTCTTTCTTCCCTTAATGTCTGTTTCATTCTTTTTTCCTTTTCTCCCTTCACCTTTTCCTTCTCTCCTTCCCTCTTTCTAAGTCCATTACTTACCCTGTACATTACAAAAACCAAAACAGCCAATAACAACAATCCTGCTAGAACTGCTAAAATGATCACCCACACAGGAACAGGCATGGGCGCCGGCTGAATGCCCCAAGTGACATTGGTAGTAACCTGTTGGGGAAAAAAAAGATTTTTAGCTATCTGCAGTACTGGGTTTTGAACTCAGAGCCTTACACTTGCTAGGCAGGTGCTTTACCACTTCTGCTACTCTGTCAGCCCAAGATTTTTAGTTTTAAAAATAATTCATTGATTTAGTAAGTGCATGAGTGCTGACTAAATTTCATTTTACTAGTCTTCACTGTATTTTTTTGCAACTGTACAAAATTTAGTGATTGCAGGTTTGTTATCAACAGCATGGACATACACGTATAAAACTCCCAACAACAAGTTAACTTCTGATTGCACCTGAAATGATTTTTAAATAATCTAATTCAGAGCTAGAAATTAAAGGGATTTAAATAGGGAAGGAAGAAATCAAACTATCCCTATTTGCAGATGACCTAAAGACCCAAAAACTTTACCAAAAAACTATTAGAAATCATAAACTTTTTCGGCAAAGGAGCAAGATACAAAATTAACACACAGAAATTAGTAGCTTTTCTATATACCAACAGTAAACAGACTGAGAAAGAAATCAGAGAAACAATCCCATTTACAATAGCCTCAAAAACAATAAAGTACCTTGGAATAATTGTAACAAAAGAAACCAAAGACCTTTTAAATGAAAACTATAAACCACTGAAGAAAGAACTCGAAAAAGATATCAGAAGATGGAAATACCTTCCAGGTTCATGGATTAGTAGAATCAACACTGTGAAAATTGCCATACTACCAAAAGCAATCTACATGTTCAACACAATCCCTATCAAAATTCCAATGACATTCTGCACAGAAAAAGAAAAAACAACCATGAAATACATATGGAAACAAAAAAGACCTTGAATATCCAGAGCAATTCTGAGTAAAAAGTGCAATGATTGAGGCATCATAATACCCGACTTCAAAATATACTACAGAGCCATAACAGCAAAACAGAATGGTACTGGCACAAAAACAGACAGGAAGATCAATGGATCAGAGTAGAAGATGCAGACATAAACCCATTCATCTATAGCCAACTGATCTTTGACAAAGGAGCCCAAAACACATAATGGAGAAAAGACATCCTCTTCAACAAATGCTGCTGGGAAAACTGGATATCCACATGTAGAAGACTGAAACTAGATCCCTGACATTCACCCTGTACCAAAATCAACTCAAAGTGGATTAGACATCTTAATATAAGGCCTGAAACTTTAAAACAACTCCAGGAAGCAGTAGGAAATATACAGGGACAGATAGGTATAGGGAACAATTTCCAAAACAGAACTCAAAAGGCTCAGCATCTAAGAAAAACAATGAACAAATGGGACTGCATCAAACTAAAGAGCTTCTGCACAGCAAAGGAAACAGTCACCAGACTCAAGAGACAGCCGCAGAATGGGAGAAAATCTTTGCCAGCTACCCATCTGATAAGAGACTAACATGGAGAATCCACAGAACTCAAAAAACTCAGCCCCCAAAGAATCAACACTTAAATGAAGAAATGGGCACATGAGTTAAACAGGGAATTCTCAAAGGGAGAGGTACAAATGGCCAGTAAATACTTGAAGAAGTGTTCAACTTCCCTGGTTATAAAAGAGATGCAAATCAAAACAACACTTAGATTTCATCTCACCCCAGTTAGAATGGCCATATTCAATGATAATAACAACAACAAATGCTGGCGAGGATGTGGCAAAACAGGAACCCTTATGCACTGCTGGTGGGAATGCAAATTAGTACAACTGCTATAGAAAGCAGTATGGAGATTCCTCAAAAAACTAGAGATAGAACTGCCACATGACCCAGTGATACCATTCCTGGGCATCTACCCAAAGGAACATAAGACAGGATACAGAAGAGACACCTGTACACCAATGTTTATCTCAGCACTGTTCACAATAGCCACACTTTGGAAACAACCCAGGTGTCCTACAACTGATGAATAGATCAAGAAATTGTGGTATATATACACCATGGAGTATTACTCAGCCATAAGCAATAATGACATGAGGTTTGAAGGTAAATGGATGCAATTGGGGGACATCATGTTAAGTGAAGTAAGCCAGGATCAGAAACACAAAAAGCTGCATGTTTTCTCTCATACATGGAAGACAGATCCAAAGAAAAACATATTCACAAAACCGAGCCTGATCATACACAAACTCAAATGTAGAACATGTTTGTAACAGTGGAACTACTCTATGGAATTTGTGGAAAGAGGGAAAGGAAAAGAGAATGATAAAGCATCAGTAATATCGCATAACATAAGATGTGAAGGTAGAGGATATGAGGATGTGTACTGAAAGCTGTTGAAAAATGAAGGGTATGAAGGGTAGGAGGTACAGGGGTAACGGAGAGTAATGGAAGGGGTTGAACAAACCAAAGTAAAGTACACTTACAATGGGCATACACTGAGGTGACCCTTTGAACATCAACTTAAATATTAACAATGAAAACCAGGATGGTAAAATATGTACAGTGTGTGTAGGGGGTATTAGTGGGGAGGGGGTGAAGGAAGGAGATTTAAGGTGATGGTATACGGTTGATGGACTTCATATACCTATATGAAACAGAACCAAGAAACCTCTTGCAATTGCTTTAAGTGAGGGGGAAAGACGATGTGGCAATGTAAAATATAAGTCTAATCAGAATTATTACTACAAATCTCCCCCCATATAATGAATATATCCTGATAAAAATTTATTTAAAAAATCCAATTCAGCTTGTGATGGCCGATCTCATTTTCAGTCCTTAAGTTTCAAAATCCCTTCACTTATTCCAATTAATTTTCAACAAAACATCCTAAAATATCCCCCACATAATTTAGCATATGGTAAAAAAAAAATCTCTTATATAGTACAGGTGCTAAAATAAAAGGTCCAGCTTTAAAATTTTAGGACAGGGATGAAGTAATACCATTAAATGAGAATCTAATCCTAATCATGTAGCTCTTTTCATTATTATTATTGTTGTTGTACTGGGGATACACTGTGACATTTACCAAAGTTCTTACAATATATCATAGTTGAATTTATCCTCTCCATCTCTCTCCTTTATCCTTCCCCCCATTCCTGGAACAGTTTTAACAGGTCTCATTTTTCCATTTTCATACATGTAATATATAGTATTTCCACCAAACTCTTCATTACTTCAAATTATCAAAGCAGTTACAAATGCCATTTTTAAAAACAAAATAAAAACATCTAAGGCATTTGAACTGAGTGGTCTTATTTCATCTCTAAATAAATCACTTACCAATGTGGAGTTGAAGATATCCTCAATTGGAAGATTCTTGTAAGGAAACTCTATGACATTGAAAGAAGCAGATGACTTCAGAGAATATGAATGATTCTGGTTTTCCTTCTGCATAGAAGTAACAATGAGATGATTTCCCAGATGTCAGACCTTTCTTACGAATATGAAAAAACGAATAAATTTGCTGAATATTACACCTGTCTTCTTACATTCATAAAGGTCTCGGTCCACAGAAGAGACTTCACATACAGGATTGCGCTCTTTCCTCTGTCCAGTCGCCCAACCTGGCAGACGATCCGCAAGCACTGAGCAATTCCACAACCCTGCCAGAACAAGTTATCTACTTACAAGAGAAACTCTATCCACTCTCTAACAATGGAATATCAGGCATCTTATTTTATTCTTTTTATGTGAAGGCTAAAGAGAGATTATCCTGATTCTTCTGTCTTGTACAAATAATGCTTAAAATTAACACAATAGTTAAGTCTGAGCTTTCAGTTATGGAGAGGTTGGTTTTAGTGTGGTTTATTATAGAAGGATAAAGTCTATAACATTAAAACTCATTTTTAAGGCTAGAGCACAACATTCTTCAAACATGAAAAAAGATGGTGTATCTATACAATGGAACATTACCAGTCATGAAAATGAATAAAGCACTAATACATGCCACAACATGGGTGAGAAGTCACTGATTAATTTGGGGTACAGCATTTCTTTTTAGGGGTGACAAAATGTTTTGGAATTATAGCGGTAATGGTTGTACAGTATTATGAATATACAAACAATCACTACCTAATATACTTCAAAATGGCTAAAATGGTTTATTTTATGTTTTGTAAGCATTATGTCAATTTTTAAAAAATACAATTCTACATGACAAGATAGTTCAGGATCAAAAGTGGGATGGGAAGGAGGATCTTATTTCACATGGGTTGGTTGGGGACATTCTCTATTATAAAATAACAGTTAAGAACACCAGAAGGAGAACAATAAATAAGCCATAGGATACCTAGACAAAAACATTCCGGGTAAGGAAAGAGTAATTTTCAAAGTGTGGATGCAAAAATGTGCTTGTGGCTATTTGTTTCAAAGTGATGTACCAGTTGGGAGGAATGAGAATAAGGAGAAAAGATGCAGCCAGAGAGGTAGAAAGGTTCTAGACTGTGTGGGGATTAAAGGCTATTACAGGCTCTAGTTATTTTTTTGAGTTAGATGGGAAAACCCTGGAGTAACCTGACCTGACTTATATTTAAAAGAATCATTATGGCTTCTACGTGGCAAAGAAACTGGAGTACCAGAAATACAGAGACTAAGTAGGGTTTTGACAGTAGTGCAAGTAAGAGAATGAGGTGGCCTGAGTTATGCTGTGACAGTGATGGAGCTGGTGGGAGGGAAGGGATCTGATTCTAGGTATTTTTGAAAGTAGATTTGGGCAGAATTTGCTGAAATGCGAGATACAGAATTTGAGAGACAAAGAAAATGCAGATTTTACATATGGATCACTGGGGAAAGAGCAGAGCTACTCAAGGGTGTATTTTCAGAATTAAGTTTGACACTTCCTATTATATATTTAAAAGCACCTATAGTAGGCAGTTGGATATTAGTGTCTGGAGTTCAAGGCAAAAGATCAGATTAAAAGTAGAAATCAAAGTCATTTGCATCATATGATTTACAGCATAAAACAGTAAGATTACCTAAGGGAGTACTGTCCAAGAGAACTTTCCACAATGATGGAAACTGTCAATATTCAGATGTCCACACTGCCTGACAGGTTAGCCACTAGCTTCATGTGGTTGTTATACACTTGAAATGTGGCTAACGCTGACAATACTGGACAATATTAGTGAATGACTGTGTGTGAAGCCCAGAAGAAACCTGAGAATGAGCCCTGGAAAATTCCAGAGGTTAAAGATCTGACAATTAGAGAATGGTGGCAAATGGAGAGCCAGGAAAAAGCGGTGTCCAAGAAATGATGAAGTGAACCAAAAGTGAGTGAATGGATGCATTAAGTGAGGCTTAAGATGGACTATAGAATTTGGTGCTGTAAAAATAACTAGTGATTTCTACTGAACATAAACACTGCACCAGGTTCTGTATGAAGTGATAGTTTGCATATGTTAACCTCCAGAAAGCTAAATGATATGCTCCTTCCAAACATTATAGTCATTGCATAATCTGACAACAAAAGCTAATCACAACAAAAGTTAATCACAACGCTAATTATTATTCTACTATACTTTTAGTGGAGCCTTCTGGATTCTTCCTGCAGTATTCCACTAAGCACCAAAGGTCAGGGTGAGACCAAAATAAAAGTCAGTTAAAGGGACACAGTAAAAAAAAAAATAAGTTTGAGCATAAAATATTTTATTAGCAATGTCTAAAGATAGATCACTTGAAAATTTGGCATTAATTTGACTAGGAAAAAGAAAAGTAAGAGGACTGGATTATATAAAAATATATGGAGTTCTTTCAAGCACAGCTGTTGCTATTTTTGAAATGTTCTTTGGCATCAGTCCTGTCATCACATTTTTAAATGTTCATAGTTCATGCACTTGAAATGACACTTACCAAAGTGTGAACATCTCCTTCACTCGGGGTGAGATCCCGCTTAGTGATGAGATGGCTCCAGTCACCCTGCCCAGCGATGGTGTCATTCTTTTCAGGTGTTTGCAAAGATGAGATCTGGATGGCATAGTTAAAATGGTGGTAAATGTAACAGAAAAATATTTTACATTGACATTTTTACATAAACTGTTATACATGGTTAGCAAATCATGTATGAAAACTTGACATGACAAATTCACCACAATACCTGCTGAACGGTAAGGACAGAAAATAAAGATTAGAGTCCTGAATACATCCAAAAATAAAAAGTTAGCTCTCCCTTGCCATTGTTTTCTCTCATTGCACAGCTAAAGGGAAACAGATGTAAACATTCAGAAGTAGCCTGAAATTCCACAATACAGCCATGATGAGTATGAATGATGAGTATATTATAAATTTTGTTTTCTTAACTTTCCTTAGGCCATATTGTCCAATTGCTTCTTATGCAAATATTCTAGGTTGGAGATGGCTAGCTCCAAAAGTATTGTCTATAAAATGGCATTTTCTAAGTCATGTAAATTGAGAGTCTATATTTTAAATATAGAAATTCCAACAGCAAAACAGCCCTACTGCAATACTATACATTTGATAGACCAAGAAACAATGAGGCCAAGGTCAAACTGAGTCACTTAAAAATATCACCTGAGGCTTACTAAATACTCTAGAACTATATAGTTTACTAGGACTTCACAGCATTCATTCTTACATGTTATATATAAATAATCTAATTCTGAGTTTATTGAGAATAAAATGTTTTTCAGAGTCTGCTTGTTGAAATAGTTGTTTTATTTCAGGCATTTCATTTATGTTTAGTAAGAAAACAAAAAAAGATCATGATAATGAAGAACAGCTATTAAGCATATTACCTTGATTCTCAGAGGGTTGATCTCCATATCTGAAGTACAGTTCATTGGCCCATCAATATCATAATGAAGGATATACAACAAAGTATTATTATTATATTTGTAAGGCCACTGAAGATTCAGCATTGCCTTGCTGAACGAACTTGGACCATTGTTTCTCAGCTAATAAGGAAAAGAAAATGTAAATATCTTGGGCAAAAACCTATTCTATAATCCTTCCTCTATGTCAGTGTTAGAATCATATTAACCACAGAATTTGAATAACAGCAGTTTCAGCAATTAGAGTCTAAATTATAACATGACTATGCTACGAAAAAAATCAAACTCAATGTTTGTCTTTAAAGTATAGAAATACCTATCAGGATGAAAATAAAAACAAAAGTTAATATTACAGAGAATTATTAATGAATGATAAGAAAAATATTTTTCCTACAGAAATATAACTTTGATTACTATAGGGAGTTTCAGTTTTTAATCAAAATTGCAATAAGCCACTGGGAAAATACCCAATGACCTATTTCCTTTATTTAAGTAGAACCAATTGCTTTTAAACAAAGAATTATAGCAACTGCTTTCTTTAAACACTTAAAACTATTGGACTGATAAAGATGAACTTATAAATAGGGGAAAATTTCAAAGAAATCTCTGGTATATGCTTAAGTTATTCAAAGTTTACATAAAAGTTATACAGAATTTTTTTTTAAGCAGCTTAGCTGTTCTCTTTTTTGGCTTTCTCATTTGGCTTTCATTAAATCCAATATCTGCAAACCTCATAGATGTGCTGAACAACAGGCCCAACGTCTTCTTCAGTCTCAGGGTTCTCCTTGTACTCCCAATTTGGAATTGGGAGAAAGATATGATCAGGACTTGAGACTCTAAACAGTGACCAAAGAAATCCTACTATGAATATCAAAATGATATAGTCAGTTCATTTTTAAAAGTATCCTACATTAATATGAATAAAATCGGATCTATTAAAAAATCTTGGGCCACCCACAGTGGCTCCTGCCTGTATAATCCCAGGTATTTGGAAGGTGGAAAAAGAAGGATCTCAGTTCAAGGCCAGCCTAGGCAAAAACTCAATGAGATCTTATCTCCTAATTCCCACTATTTGGGAGGTGGAGGTAGAATAATCGTGGCCCAAGGCTGGTCTGGGCAAATGTGCTGAGATCCTATCTAAAAATGAACTAAAGGAAAAAGGTTGGGTGGCATGTTTTAAATGGTAGAGCCCTTGCTTAGCAGCCCTTAGTTCACTCTCTAGTACTGCCCATTCATCATCATCATAATCATCAATATTAAAAGAAAAAGTAGTGACTGTACATACAAACAAAACTGCTATAATTAAATCCACATGTAATAGGTGAATTGATAAACTGGTTTGTGTAAACATTCAATAAATTTATTTTGAGATTGCTGTTGCTAGATCTTGTTCCTTCATGGAGGATTGCCAAATAAATAGTTGGAGCTTGAAACTCACTAGAACACTATTCTACAGAGTGTACTGTCCTAGTCAACACTTCTAAACAGGGAGCAATGGCTGTCCAAAAGAAACCAGGGTAGTATTAGTGACTTTTCGAAGTGATCATGACAATGAGATACTCAACTTTATAATCATACTGACCCTCTTATCTCAACAGCAGCTAAAACAGCAAGGTCGACTTTGTAAGATACAACTGGGCTTACTTTGTCAAAAAGATTAGAGCTGAAAAAGGAAAAAACACGTAGGACTGAATTGAGCACAACTATGGTCAAAATCATAGAGAAGCAGACCTAGCAAACTAAAAATGAACAAATTCAAAGCAACAAAGAAACAAAAACTTATAAATCTAAACGATTACTTTCATTAGCATTTAACTCCAGCAAAATGATGAAATTTGACTTAATTTTTAATTTTGTTCTATAAAATCAAAATTGACAGTACAATATTCTTATAATGTAAATATTGATTTAAAAAGTCTATAGTCAAATACTAAATTTTTAATCTACAGTTCCATGATATTTAAAGTATATTACTTATAGCAAATGTCTCTTCAATAGTTATTACATCCTAATGTAAGCTGTTTTCATACCTTTGGATCTGTAAGTCAAATTTCACAGAAGTATCCATCTCTGATTGCTGGTGTACACTGAAACGAAGACCAGCAAAGAGCTGAAGAGGAGAAGAAAAGATCACAGTGTTGAAGTCTGATGCTCAAAGAATAAAGCATGTTCTAAAATGCTGCTGTAGTGAGCTCCCAATAAAAGAGAACAAAGATAATTAAATCTGTTTTCTACTGAATCTCATTATGAATCCAAAAGTGTCTATTTTAACAATAATTATTATAATTATACCTCCTTATGATATTAACTATCTTTCTAAAAAAAAGGTAAAAGAAATATTTTTTGATTCTAGAAAAGAACAGCAATTAAGGGCAATTATTTGGTAATAGGAAGCTAACAACTGAACTGTGTTAATGAGTCAGGAAAGAAAAAATGGATGGTTTACAAGAATAAGAGAACCTAGCTGAAGAAGGCAAAAGTAGGGCCAGAACCAAATTCTCCTCTAACACTTCTCAAAACCACCCCCAACCTCCATCACCAGACTTCTGCAGGTAGGAAACTGGTAGATTTTAAAGAAAACAGCTGAGCCACAAGGAAGAAGACTGAATGCTTTTTTGGGGGAATAACATTAATGACACATAAAAATGGCACTTCTTGAGTACATCAAAGAGCTAGTATGTTAGATTAATCAGGAATTACCTACAATGAAGGAGCCGAGTACTAAAAAGCTGAAGAGAAGTAACAACACGAGGAACTAAAAAGCATGCCCTGTTGTAACTGACAGATTGAATACATGTGAAAAAAAGGATCTTTGTACAAAATCTCTTCCCTAAGATAGCAGCATCTAGAAATGATGACCTTTAGTGAAATATATATCTAAAGAATGAGGGAATATTTAGCCCCTAGAAATACATTACCAGTATCAATGTGTCATTAATTTAACTCTATTATGAAAGCAACACAGCATATACTGCCAAGTTTTTCCTGGATACTAGGAATACACAAGGTTTATTTTATTTCCTTTTTAGAGCATGTGGGAAGATTGAATTGAGCACAACTATGGTCTAAATCATAGAGAAGCACTGAGTGCTTCTTTTTGAGCTCCAAGGCCCCCCTGCTCCACCATCTGAAGAGGAGCCTGATTCAACTAAGCGTCTGCCAGATCTTCTGTGTGGGATCTGTGATACAGGACTTCATTCAAATTAATCAGCTATCTCCATCACATCTAAGAATGACAGTCCTGGTATTTGCCTTATGAGGATCCAATAAAGCATGAGTTCAAAATACAAAAATTAGAATTTCAATTCTTAGTTTAAACCATGTCTTTATATATTTACCAAACTGAATGCAGCATGAACAGCAGCTTCTTAAATATAGTACAACCCATCATTTCAGCATCTTAGTTAAAACCAAACAGAACTCTGCTAATCATTAAACTCTAAATCAAAACCAATTTAAAGATATTATTTTGACATATCTGTGTGGTTTCTTTTAAAAAAAAAATACTATGAACAAACCCAGAGTAATATATCATATTCTATTTTTGGGGAAAAAAATCCATTCATTTGAAATGCCTTACTTGAGTTCCAGCCTTCATTGGGTTTCCAAGGTCACATACAACCTGACGGGTTTGGTTTTCTGTCTTAAATGCACAGGAAAGTCTTGCTAGGACCTTCAATAAACAAAGGAAAAGGAGGTAAGAAGAAAATAAACTGCAGAAACTGTAAGACTATAAAGCTCCTACACACTATTATCTCATTAGATATTTATTCCTTTATGAAGCAAATAAATCTATTTGAGCAAATGTAGAGTAAGAGAAAAGCCCAGTCTTTCTGCCGGGTATCGAGGGGGGTGGGGGGGAGAGGGAGGGGGCGGGGTGGGTGGTAAGGGAGGGGGTGGGGTAAGGGGGGAGAAATGACCCAAACATTGTATGCACATATGAATAAAAAAAAAGAAGAAAAGCCCAGTCTATGTACAAATATAAATGTACAAGTGTTTTTGAAAGATCTCTAGAGGATTCAGATACATAACCATAGTGCCTCTGACAAATAATTTGACGGACAGGCTTATACACTTTATCTGACCTCGTTTTTCAGGCACTTAGCTAGCAATTCTAAAAATGTCGTATCGATACATTATGTAAAGTATTAGGCTTAAATGAATTATGTAAGATGGCAATCTATTGTCTAGCACTTTAGCCTTAGGTAGAATGGCTAAGCTTGTAGCTCATTAATGTTAATAAGACCTGGGAGTGCACTTCGATTTTTAATGAAGCAGCTTGCTTACTTCACTGTTTCGGACAACCCCAATGAAATCAGCCTGCAGTGGAATGGAAACGATGAGCTCAGCTTCATAGGCACCTTCCCCTTGATTCTGCGCCTTGACAATCAATGTCAGAGGGTTGTCATCCCCAATATAGATCTTCTTTTGATCACTGCGAGTTAATACAATCTAAACAGTGAAAAACATCTACATGGGGAGAGCATGACTGCTCAAAGAAACAAGAGATAAATACACAGCTTCCACATGTTTCAACAGCATCTCAAGATATTTTAAGACTTTTTTGTTTTTTGGTGTACTGGGGTTTGAACTTGGGGTCTTGAGGTTGCAAGGCAGGCGCTTTACCACTAGAGCCATGCCCCTAGCCCATTTTAAGACTTCTTTACACCTCAAAAGAAAATAGGCAATAGCCTACTGGGTACAAACCCAATGCTTCTCTCAGTAAAAAAGAACAATAATGTCACTAACATATCATTCTTGTTCATATTTATTACTGAAGTAATTTTATATGTCTATATGTACTTATTTCCCTGATTTTATCCTAAAAGATGGGTTACTCTTTTGTCATGATTTTCACAATAATCTTCTTAATTTACATGACACATAAGATACAAAGGATACTCCTTGAGTTATAGCTACAATGAAATGTATCTTCATGATACAATATTACTTTGTGACACTCCCCAAAGCTGACTGGTCATAAATTTGTCAAGCTTGGCAACTAGTGAAAACACAGTGCATATTTTCTTAGGCTAAAGATTGTTATGTTATATAAAATCATAACTTATCACCCAGTATAATTCTTATTACAAAATTAGCACTTTGAATAGGAAAATGTACTCTTCCATTTAAATTTCTTATGATAATATTTACTGTTTGGAGTAAGCCTTACCTTTCTACAGAAACTTCCAGTTTTGGTTTACAGACATTATCTTCACCACAGTCAAGCAGAATATGAGCCTGAAAAAAATACTTTATTTTTTTCTACATGAAAAAATACTAATACAGGTTGCATATGAAGTTCACATCAATATATGTGGACATACATATATGTACATATATGTATATATTTATTTTGTGTGTTGGGGGGCTGGTGCTGGGGATCAAACCCAGGATCTTATGCACACTAGACAAGCATTCTACCACTGAGCTATATCCCCAGCCCTTCGCATACAATATTTACACATACTCATCAACTTGTTTGTACACTTGAAGGCAAAAAAGATCTAGGCTACTAATTTATAAATAGGTCAGTTTAGTTAATCAAGCATCAGAAAGAAATCAAAAGTCTTAGAGTATAAAACAATTTCTTGGAGTCTTTTTCTTTTATCTCAAATTAGCTGTTAACATTTTGGAATGAAGTCTGGTTTAGAAGAGAAAGTAACAGTTAAGAAATGAGGGTTCACATGAACTTTGCTGCTAGGTAAGTTCTGTGAAGTTGGGCAAAATAAACTCCCTTCTAGAGTGTCTCATTAGGACTGTGCCCTCTGCCAATATCACAGAAACATGGTGGCAGAGAATAAAATAAAAATAAGTGGCAGAAAACTGAAGCAACAGGATGAGAAAAGGGGGAAAAAACTGGTTAAAATGAGTCTAGCATGTTCAGGGTCATTTGGAAAAAGATAAAAGAAAAGGAACTACAAGTATTAAAATAATTAGGATAGAAGAAATAAGCAAAAAATTGAACTTTTTCTCTCTGGATCTGACCAAGACAATATTCCAGATTAATATGGAAAGGAAACAAAAGAAGGAAATTATGGGGCTAGGTGTGGTTGTACACGCCTATAATTATAGCACTTTGAAGGCAGGAGAATTGTGGGTTTGAGACCAGCCTGGGCTATATAACGAGACACCATCTCAAAAATCCAGAAAAATCTAACAATTAAAAAACAAATAATGAGAGGTTACCAGAAGAGCTTAGGTAGGATGCAAAGGAAGAAAAATAAAAATTAAGGAGAAAACAAAGGTGAAGCTACTCTTGTTTTGTCTATTGTTAATATCCAAAAGGCCTCAGACCCAGAGGTATAGAAAAAGAAAGACAGGATTTAAAGGAGAAAAACAATAAAATAATTTTTTTTGGAAGTACTAGAGTTTGAACTTTGGGCCTCATGCTTGCCACGCAGGTGCTCTCCCACTTGAGCCACTCTACCAGCCAAAGGAATTCTTTAAAAACAGATGGGCATTGCCAGGCACTGGTGGCTCATGCCTGTGATCCTAACTACTCAGGAGGCAGAGGTCAGGAGGATTGTGGTTCAAAGCCAGCCAGGGCAAATAGTTCGCCAGACCCTACCTTGAAAAACACATTCAAAAAAAGGTCTACTGGAGTGGCTCAAGGTGTAGACCCTGAGTGCAAGCCCCACTACCATGAAAAAACAAAAGATGAACAACAACAACAAAACTGATAGGCACTATACATACTCAAAGTCACAAGGGTTGTGCAAGTACCTAGAACAGAATTACATGACAGAGATGTTAACTTCCAATTTAATGGGAACAAAATCTATGTGAATTAACTCAATTACCTAGAGGTTGCTATAAACTCAAAGAAAAAATAAGAGGTCACAGCTATTAGAAGAACTTAGGGTGGTGCTTTAAGCCATACCAACTATAAATCAATGATCAATTAATTCAGGATAAAGTCTGAATTTTGCAGATTAATAAATTAATGAGGACTGAGGATAACAATGAGTGGTGGAGGACTTGTTTATCAAATATGAGGCCCTGAGTTAAAACCCCAGAAACTATAAAATAAAATAATGAGCAATATGGTTTGTATCTGAAGCTTGAAGTAAGAAACAGGTATAAAGTTATTAATAAGACTGTAAAGGGATACTTCTCTAACTACCACTTGACAGAGAAAAAGACTTAGCTAACACTGGAGCAGTTAGATGAGTATCAATGAAAGCTATTAGACCACCAACAACAGGTGTTGGCAAGGATTTGGGAAGAAAGGAACCTTCGTACACTGCTGGTGGGAATGCAAGCGAGTGCAGCCACTCTGGAAAAACTTTTGGAGGCTTCTTAAAAATCTAAACATAGATCTGCCATATGCTCCAGCAATCCCACTCCTGGGGATATACCCAAAGGAATGCGACACAGGTTACTCCAGAGGCACCTGCACACCCACGTTTACTGTAGCACTATTCACAATAGCCAAGTTATGGAAACTGCCAAGATGCCCCACTACTGAAGAATGGATTAAGAAAATATGGTATTTATACCAATGGAATTTTACTCAGCCATGAAGAAGAATGAAATCTTGTCATTCGCAAGTAAATGGATGGAACTGGAGAACATAATTCTGAGCAAGGTTAGCCAGATTCAGAAGACCAAAAATCGTATGTTCTCCCTCATATGTGGACTTTAGATCTAGGGCAAATACAGCAATGTTGTTGGACTTGGGTCACATGATAAGGGGAGAGCACATACGGGAGGTATGGGAATAGGTACGAAACACAAAACATGAAAGTGATGTCCCCACTGCAGAGGAACTAATACAGAAACCTTAAAGCGACAGAGGTCAATATGGGAAGGGGATCAGGAACTAGTGAAAAGGTCAGGTAGAGATGAATCAACTTTGGTTGTAATATATTTGTACATGGAAACAATGCTAGGAATCTCTCTGTATAGCTATCTTTATCTCAACTAGCAAAAATGCTTTGTCTTTCTTATTATTGCTTATGTCTACTCTTCAACAAAATTAGAGATAAGGGCAGAACAGGTTCTGCTTGTAAGCGAGGGGGGGTGGGGGGAGAGAAGGAGGGGGTAGGAGGCAGGGGGGAGGAATGACCCAAATAATGTATGCACATGTGAATAAATGAATAAAAAAATTTTAAAAAAAGAAAGACAGCTATTAGGACAGTTTCAGAAATAGAAAAGCACATAGCAATATCTCCATACCACAGAATCAAATTGTCACGGTTACAAACTTAGTCTCTTGCACAGAGTAGGAATTAGTATGTATTTGAGTGAGGAAAAACCATTCTTCCTGCAGAAACCACTGAATCTTTAACTCTGGGCATTGAGTTCTAGATCTGTACTATCTACAAAGTGGCCACTAAGAAGCCAGATGTGCTTCTGAGCACTTGAATATGCCTACTGTCAATGAGAAACTGACTTTACATTTTTAGTTAATTTTAATTAACTGAAAACTGGTATCTGAATCCATTACTGAAAAACTTTCAATGTTTACAACTAGAATATATAAATCTACCTATAAATTATATGAACTCTAAATACAAAAAGCAAAATTGTCAATGAAAATTTAGTATCTAAATTTAGTGTATCATATACTCTGGATTTTAAAAGATATTAAAAATAGAACACAAAATGCTTCAATGACAATTTTTAAATTGAATGCATATTAAAATAAAATTTTGGATATTTTCATGGGCTGTATTATATCTGTCCAAACTTCATATATTGATCTTATCTCAGTTTCAGAAGTTGACTGCATTTGAAGATACAGTCTTTAGAGAGGTAATTAATTATGTTGAAATGAAGTCACTAAGGTAGGTCTTAATCCAGTATGACAGACCTGTGCTTTAAAACACAAGGGGTCTAGGACACAAACCCTTAGATAGAAGAGCATGTAAAGGCACAGTGAGCCAATGAAAAAGGCTCACTGTGGATACAATGGTCTTGAACTTTCTAGCCTCCAGAATTCTACATGGCTTTATGAGAGTAATTATTTATGTACCATATATGCATGTAAGTGTATATGCACACTTTATAAAAACAATTAAAATGTACATCAAAGATATTTAGCAAAGTATTGAAACACTATAAAAATAAACTGGCATGTACTGTTTTCTTGAATTATTTTCTATTTTGCAATATGAAATATGACTGTTTCTCTATGCATGACTAACTTCTGAATGGGCTTAATAAAGAGTTCAGACCTGAAAATTCAGATCCCTTTCCCTTTGATTTCTTTAATGATAAAAGTGTTGATATTTAAAAACACGAATTGTATGACCTCAAAAAAAGATCAAAGGATGAAATTAGAAAGAAACTGGAAAAGTACAGTACCTGTCGGCTCATGTTGGCAGGAGTGAACTGGTTAAGAATGGGTTGTAAGCCTGTTGCATCAGCAGCCGTTCTATAATCCAAGCGGTATTCCATAAAAATAGTAATTGGAGTCAGTTTGTCTCTAAATTCAGATTCATCCTAGAAATGGAAAAGTTAAAGATGATATCTTTAACTTATCTTATTATCTGGAAAAATAAGTGCATATCAAAAAGCCAGCTGTATTCATCTCTTGAACATCAATTCTACCAAATTGAAGAATCGAGTATCTAAAAGGCTTAATCATTATCAGTGAAAACTTTTAAACAATTTTGGTTTATAAGGTAATACTTGATTCACACAAAAATATACGAGGCATATTAACTGTGAACTGAATTTCTCTGAAGAAGATACACATATACTGAAGAACCTGCAGACTGACCTTGGTTAACTAGAACACTGACTGTGGAGAAATGAGTTATTGCAGAGTCAAAGTTATCTTTTGCTGTCTTTAGTCCTTTTTAATATCATTCACTATTGACCTCTGTATCTGACTTAATGTTTTCATGACTCCTAAATAAAACTACTGCAATGCATGCTAAGCCTGACAAGATCTCTAGCCTCCACTAACCCAAAACTATGAATGTGATAAAAATCCAAATCCTATAAAAGATTTTTTTTTTGGTGGGGTGTGATGGTCCATGCCTGTAATCACAGCTACTAGAGAGGCACAGATGGGGAATATATGGTTCAAGGCCAGCCTAGGAAAAAAGTTGATGTGACTCCCTCCTTCTCAACAAATAAACTGGGCATGGTGGCACATGTTAAAGATAGCATCTGGATCCTACAGAAGAGGTCTTCCCCATCTTTCTGTAGCTGCCTACTTAATGATCAATTCCACCTACTGTTTTCCATTGACTATAAAAGCTCAAGTGTCCTCTTCCAGGATGGGCCATGTCATATAGGGTAACCTAAATCTGTATATGCAGGCCATGAATACTCATATTTGGCTCAGAGGAGACTACTTTCTTATTTTCTTTAAAGTGGGGTTGTTACTGGGCTGTATGACATCATAGAAGCTGAAAGAAACCAAAGTATTTCTCTTTAGACTTCTAAAGTTTATTGGCCTTAAGAAAATTAAAAGACAGAAATTTTCTACTTCTCCTCTTCCAGCTTGAAGGCAGAACATAGATCCTTTACTTCAGACAACTTTTATCAGATCAGAACCAGGTATCAGAGGAATCTGCAGAAGAGGCTTGCTGGATGAAATTCTTCCCACATGTTGCCTTTCAGTTTTCCTGGGTTTATCTGCTCTTCTTTGTCTTGTTGCTGCTCTAAAACTATTACTCTTTGTCTGAAAGGTATAAAAGCATCCTGCTTTGGCCATTTCATCACTGTCTTGTGGAGATCCCCATAAAAATGTAGATGAATAAAATTTGTTTTTCTCTTTAAAAAGAAACTTTCATGTCGCATCAATTTTTAAAAGTTAATGAGATTGTCAACTATGCATAAGGTGTCATTGGATTGAAAGTGCCATAATTATGCTAATAAATCTTCCTCTATTTCAAAAAAAAATAAAGTAGGGTTGTTAAATTATGTTAATATAATAAAAATGAGCACTAAAATACACACTAATCATAATAATCAGAATGATACTGATATGGCTTAAGCTACTTATCTATTCCCTTTTCTTTCATCCTCCTGCCTTTCTTCAAGGAATCTTGACTACTGAATTTTAAGTCTGCCATTCTCTTGCTTGTTCTTGTATGAAACCACTTTTCTGAAATTTGTTTACATTTCTTTTATGGTCACCTCTTTTATGACCTATGAATGGTAAATTTTTATATTCTCAAATTGTTCAGTGCCAGACTGTAGATGGGTCTATTATATGGAGCCTTTTTGGTGTTGCAGAGTCATTAAATAGTATGTTTTGCTTTTCCCTTTTTCATTTACTTAACAATGGGATCCTCTAGTCTTCTGTGATTTCCTTTCTGTTCAGCACTTTTTTTTTTTTTTGATGGTACTGGGGTTTGAACTCAGGGCCTCACTCTTGCTAGACAGGCACTCTATCACCTGAGCCACTCTGCCAGCCCTCTTTTGTGCTGGGTATTTGACACAGGATCTCTCAAACTGTTTCCCTGGTCCAACCTCAAACCACAGTCATTCTGATCTCTGCTTCTGGAGCAGCTAAGACTATAGACATGAGCCACAAACACTCAGTTGTTCAACACTCTTGTTAAGATTCACAAAGTCTTCACGACAACTTATACTAGCATCAGCAATGAGTAAGAGTTATAAATTCATACCTTGCCCGATGAATAGATATAGGCAGACTTCACTTAAATTTAAAGTTATATTTCTTCATAGTCATGACTTGATGTATTTGCTGTTTTTGGTTCTTAAATCATAAATACTTATTTAACTTAATCAAAAGGTTTTTTGGAGGTACTGGCATTTGAACCCAGAGCCTTGCACTTGCTAGGCAAGCCTTTCACCACTGGAGTTATACTTCCAGCCCATGAAAGCTTTTTCTATACATAAATAAAATGTATAGATGTCTTTTGTTCTTTAGTCTGTTCATGTGGTAAGTTCTAGATTTTTAATATTAAAATATTTAAGCTCTAGATATTTAACATTAACCCATTCCACGATAAATTCAACTTGTACTATTCATCTTCTCTTATGAAGTACTAGAATTTAGTTTGCTTATATTGGCTTACTAACTTTACATATATGTCTCTGTGTAAAATCAGCACAAAATTCCCCTTTCTTATACTGTCTTTGACCAACAGAAGTACAAACTGCTTCACAGAATGCGATAGAAAAATTTTCAGCACTCTACAACTGGAGCCATACGCTGAGCCTCTTTGTATTCTGTTTTTCAGGTAACTTGCTAGCTTTGCCCAGGCTGCCCGGGAACTCTTTCTTGATCCTCCTGAATCACTGCCCAAGGCATGCATCACCACACCCAGCCAGAAAGGATATTTTCTATGAAACCCCTTTTTGAAATATGTTAAGACTTCCTTATGGCCTATGAATGATCAATTTTTATATTCTCTAATTAATGAGTGCCAAGTTTTACATAGGTATGTTAAATCAGGCTTATTAATTATATTTTATTTTCTAAATCTTTACTAATGCTTTTGGACTTCTTTTTAAAAATTTTTCATTCTTTACTTCTTTAAACATTTTATACAAATTTATATTCTGCAACTGAAAATTTGAACATCTTAAGCCTTTGCTGATCTAAAATCTAGTGGCTATGTCTTTGTGTATTGTGCTTTTTCTTTTTTAATGAGCTCATACTTGATTGACATTAACCCACACAGGAATCCCAGGGTCTACGTGTGATTGCTCTCTTACAAAACGCTCTGCATTTGCTCTTGCTAGGATCAAGGTGCACCTCTGTCCTAAGAACATCTAGCATTGTGCAAGAGTCTGGGCTTAAAGATGTTGTAAAAGGCCCCAGGTGCGTCTGAATCCTGTGCTTGTTTCTACAGTTGCTGCTTCCCCTTGTACCAGATTCCATCCATTCCCAGCAGTCCAAGTTTATATTTGCTTACAATTCACTATTCAAATTTAGCTACTGGTGTTTTTTTACTTAGTTGCTTACTTTCTGGACACTGGAGATTTTTTTCACTGTCCTTGGAGTACAGCAATACTTTAGAAATAGGTTTACCATAATTCACTCAATACTCAGAATTATTTCATAATCCAGTGGAATATCCAGATTGCCAAGAATAAAGTCCATTACTTCTACTGTCAGGTTTGACAGTTGAAAAGCCAGACTTCCTCAACTGTATTTTTCTATGGTTTTCCTTTCAGTTGAATACCAATTTATTGAAAATTACTTTTTCATTTAGATGAAAAAATAATAACTGAAAGAAAAAGATAATGGTGCAGAATGGTGTCTCTTACCCGCAAATATGCTATCAGTTCCTCACATTGCATCTGTCCCCCCCTCGAAACAGTCATGTTCTTGGAGTGACCCGGGGACCTGTTATGGAGAAACAGTGCTCGTCGAATTGCTCCCTTTTGCTTGAGTTTATCCAAAAGAAGCTCCACCTGGAAGTCTATACAAACCAAAGTATTTATAACCAATGTATTCTACATGGACTTATCTCTGCCTAGATAACCTAGAGTTTTCATGTAAACAGAGATACTTACTTCTGAGAAGTAATTTGGTTTCAATTCATTAAAAATGCCTAAATGTGAGTCTCTAACACTAATTTTGAATACTTAATAATAACTAATTAATCCAACTATCTACAAAGTAATGTCATGCATAATTCAAATAACGATGGTAGTAAAACAAATATCAGAAGAAAACTTTTCTCTTAAGTTGCAGGAAGGAAGTACAGAGGGTGACACATGTGAATTAAGACCCCTCACTGGACTGGGGAGGTAGCTCAGTGTGTAGTACATACTGAGCAAGCTTTAGGCCCTGGGTTCTCTTCCATGCACCACAAAAAAACAAAACCAAACAAAACAACAACAAAAACTTCCACCATTAATCCAAGTAGCAAGATTCTTAACAATTTTGATTATTTGTTCACATGTGCCCAATATCATTATATTAAGCACTATGATGAATGAACAGTTTAAATCACTTGCAACTTCTGCTTCCAATGAAACTGCCACATCAAATTGCTAGACACATATGACCTTCATGAAGCAAGTGAGCAAATAGAGCTTAATGGGTTGATAGCCATCTAAAAATGAATGTGCAGTCAGAAGTATACACATGGTTGTTAAAGTGCATGTAACATCATAAGACACTTACTGAGTCTCCTTGGAAGTGCTCCTTTGCCATCTGCCTTTAAGCAGAACCTGACATTAAAACTGTAGGAAAATAAAACATATACATGTAAATCCTATAATCTAGTTTTGATATATTTTTGAATATTACCCAAATTTCACACTTCTAATACAGTATATCTTGATATCTGTGGAGGATTGAGTCTAGGATTTGTGCCCTTCCCATATTAAAATCAGTGTAGGCTCGGGGCCCTTATAGAAAATGTTGTCATATTTGCATATAACCTATACACATCTTCCTGTACACTTTAATTCATCCTAGATCACTTATAATATCTACTGTAACTCAAATGCTATGTAAATAGCTATTAACTACATTGTTTAAGGAATGACAAGAAAAAAGTCTACACACTCAGTACAGACACAAGTTTTTATTTTCATATTTGAATCCACAGTTGGTTTCATCTGCAATGTTGAAGCCAACAATGTAGAGGGATGATGATGCGTGGTTTGTATTATGAAAACTTACATCTTTTTTCATGTCTTAATGTTATGCATAAAACAGGAAACTATACAGACTAATCTGGCTTGTCCTTCAATAATTTAAGCATGTTAGCTTTTATGATGACAGTGAAAAAAAATTTTCAGATTCCTCACATTTATAGAGCCTGTTTGATACATCCAAACGAGGGAAAATGACTCATTTAATAAGACTCACTGAAGCATCTTTTAACTCCTCTTTAATAGTGTTTCTCAATTTCTTTTTTTTTTTGGAATACAGGTGATTGAACTCAGGGCCTTGTGTGTGCTAGGCGAGTGCTCTACCACTTGAACCACTCCACCAGTCCTTTTAGTTTTTGGTATTCTGTTTGTGAAATAGGATCTCATTAAATTTGCTTTAGTTGACCTCGAACTTGCAAATTTCCTGCCTCTGCCTCCTGAGTATCTGGTATTATAGGTGTGCACCAACACATCTGGCTCATAATTTCTTAACAGGCAGATAATGAAAATAGTTTAATAGAATGTGTCCAGCATCTTAAAAAATTAAGTTAATAAAACTAGCTGGGTGTGGTGACATATATCTGTAATCCCAGCACTTGGGAGGCTCAAGCAGGAGAACTGAGAGTTCCAGGCCAGCCTGGGTTACACAACAAGACTGTGCCTCAACAAAACAAAACAAACAAAAAGCAAATAAATAAAATAATTTTCAAAAATAAAATTGATTTAAATTTTGTTTATTAGATTATAATGCAGAATGTATTTCTCTGTACCATAATCAAAATCATGAAAACTACTGCTCTAGATAGTTCATTTGAACCCTTGTAATTATTACCATAATTATAAGCATAATATTTGGGATCGGGAGGTATAAGTCGGTGGGGGAGTGCTTGCCTAGCCTGCATGAAGCTCTGGGTCCAATCCTCAGCACTAGAAGAGAAAAAAGCAAGAAACAAAAAACTGTAACACGTACAGTGGGGCATGCCTCTCATCCCAGCCATTTGAGTTTGAGATCAGTCCAGGCAAAGACGGTGAGCCCCTCTTCCAAAAAACAAAATAAATTTAAAGGGCTGGGACACAGCTCAAGTGGCAGAGTGCTTAGCTCGCATGCACAAAGCCGTGGGTTCAATCCCCCGTACCACCAATAACAAAAAGAAAAACGGAAGTGTAAGCAGCTCCACAGGCACAAAGGTGAATAGAGAGAAAAAGGCAGTAGAACTAAAAGCCAAAATCTTGATAAAAACTTGATTGCTGGTCAATCAAGTTTTTATCAATAAAAATGAATAAATACTAATAAATGTTTAATGTAATCCAATGAAAAAATTAAAATTACAAAAATTTAATGTATATCGTAATGATTTAAAAACAAAACCAGAAAAGATAGCTTTTATTAGCGCTTTTGAAATGAAATGTTCGTAGCTTATCAGTCATTCTCCTCCTTCCTCATCTGTACATTCTCTGTGATTTCTCTTTTTTTTTAATGTGGAAGGCCATGAGCAGTGTTCCTCACAGAAGGCACTCTTGGTGACTTAAGTATGGCATGGATCAAGAAATTTCTTACCCTTATAATAATTTTGACAAGAAATACAAGAAAGATACTAGTTTCTCTACTTTATTTTTTAAATATTTTGGAATAAAATGAGTCAATTTAAAAAATATATAAAAACGTAGAATGAAAATATAGCAAAAAATATGAAAGTAGCATGCGGGGGACAAATGAAAAACAACATTATAGGGAAGAATTTGGACACTGGACTTTTGTAGCATTTTTCTTTGGAAACTATTAAGGAAACAAATACAAAAATAAAATATCAGAGCCAATTTTTTTTCATACACCTATTCATAGATATGAACTCTGAAAAAGAATGTTATCTTTTAAAAATTAAAATTATCAAGGACCTGTTTAGAATTAAATATAAAATGAATTCTGAGATCTTATTAGTTTTTCTAATTAGTTTTCATATTTAATATATTCCTTGACCACATATAATTCTTTTAAAAACAACTTTTATACTAATTTATAGAATATTTCTGAAGCCTTCTCTACATCTTCTTTGGAACAGTACTTTATTATATAATCTAATCCATGACATGAAAATAGAAAGCATCTATCTATAGGGACTGCTTTAGCAATATTAAAAACTGCCTCCTCAGTTTTTAATTGTTCTTAAAATTATTGAACCATTAATCATAATCATAACTATTACTAGACAAAGACACTTACCAGGAAACTTTGAGAGCTGTCCCAGGCAGTGGGCAGGTTTTATTGTCTTGATTTAAGATGCTAGGGTACACTTCAAGGCCAGCATTTACAGTGATAACAGGCCTGGCCCTGTTTAAAATAGAAGAAAAGGAAAAATGTTACCAAAAGTTACATAGATCTAAGCATTAGATTCACATTAACCATAGATACAATCCAATGTCTACTAAGCCGTTGTTTATAGAGACAAAAACAATAGGAGCAACCTAATGTAAGATGACCAATCATCTCTTTGCCCAAAATTGTCCTGATTTCAGTACTGAAAGTCCTTCATCCTTGGAAATCACTCATTTCCAGGCAAAGTAGAAGTAGCCAGCCTATCTGAATTCAGTCCGTTAAAACAGAATTGTTGGTAAGTGTGCTATCCAATTGATGTAATCAATGTAGTGGGGAACTTAAATGCTGATATAGAATAGTCTTTATGATATAGCCAAGATATAATTTTAGTAGGAGAGGAAAAGCATCCCACAATGCAGAAAGAATGCCTACAGACCATACATGCACACACGCACCCAGATGCACGCATGTACATATGCAAGCATGTAAGGTTTTTTTTGAATAATGGAATTCTTTATGGGTTTATTAAACCAAGGACCAGTAAGGTGCTGGGCTAGACTGGTGGAGGAGTTCAGAACTCTCACTGCCTGGTGGGCATCTCTGGGACCAGCCCCCACTCCTCAGGCTCACACAGCACTGATAGCTAGCTTCCGCCCAACATCCCCAGCAAATGCATAGGACACAGTATTATATAAGAGAACAAATGCAACTTTTCTCTTCTTTTATATACGACATGGTTCTATACCCTGCCAGCACAAGTGAGGGTAGGTAGGTGTTAAAAGTGACAGTCTATTAAAAAGACAATAACTCTTATAAAATGAAGACAAAGGAAAGAGCCCAAGCCTGGAAAGCTAAAATGCTGCTTTGGATCCAAGATCCTTCCTCTTTCTGTGGCACTCCTGGGAGGGTGGGATGGGCTCCTGGGCTCCAGGGGGCACAGGACCATGGGACTGAATCCAGGAGTCCCCTTGGAGCTCCTGGCCAGATGGCTCTCTACAACTGCATGGACTGCTTGGGAGGGCATCTGCAAGTAACAGCTCAAGCACATTTCCAGTCTTGATGCTGGGGATTCCAACCCAGCATGAGGAACAGCCAGGCCTGATTGGCATACCCCAAGCTTCCAGGGCACTGAAAGGTGAACTGATTTTGCCCAGGACAAATGACTGGTCACTAGACCTAGAGTCCTACCTCTATGACCCTTACCTGTCTTGCTGCTGTTGCTTCTGGGGATGGTTGGGAAAGGGCCCATATGACAGTAAGGGGGAGCCCAGGAAGAGGAGAGGGAGGGAGGTGATGGTTTAGAGAAGACAAGAAAGTGAAGAAACTCCCTTTTCCTACCCCCAGCCATGCCTGGCTGAAGCTGTAGAAGAGGCTGAAGTCTCCACCTTATACTGGCACTCAGGAAAGCATGACCAGGTTGTCTGGGCTCCACTCTGACCAGCAACAGCAATAGGGCAGCAGCAGGGGTCATGGCATGGTGAGGGAGCTAATCACGAACACAGCCCCGGACCCAAGAATCTTGGATCTGTGTCACCTTCACAGTTTTTTTCATTTCTCTGAGCCTTGGTTTTCTCATCTTGAAGGCTGTACAGCTGTAGCCTTCGCACACTCACCCAGGCAGCCGGTGCTGGCTCTCAGGCTGTAGCCTTTCTACATGTGGCACAGCCAGTCTCTGGTCCCTGCCCACAGTACTGCTCTCAGTACCCAGTAGCCACACATGATGTTTTAATACACAGAATATTTCTGGCAGGATATACTAATAAACCAGTAATTGGTATGAGAAAATATATACCCTTTCTAATCATTTGAATATTTATTCTCATGTATGTATTACTTCACCAATGGCATTTTAAAAAACTAAAACAATAAACTTAAGGATTACTTGAGCATCTCTTACCTGAAAATCCAAAATGTGAAATGCTATAAAATGCCAATCCAAATCTTTTTTAGCACCAACAAAATAATATCTGATTTTGGCTTATTTCAGATTTTAGATTCTTGAATTAAGGATGCTCAACTGGTTAAGTCTACGCAAATAACCCAAAATGCAAAAATCTCCAAAATATGAAACACTTCTAGTTCCAAGCATTTCAGATAAGGGATACTCAATCTGTAAATACAATTTTCTAAAGCTTAGATGCGTAAGATTAAATTTTGTACAAAAATACAGTAGGCTCAGGTCAGTAAGGCTGTCCTAAAATGATAAATCTCTGAAATCTTCAAGTACACATTACCATAGTTATAATTAAATTGGCCTACCACAAACTCTATTACACAGCACCAGTGTCAGTTTTCTTGCCATATGCAAACTCAGTCTACAGATATATAAACATCTTAATCTACTAAAATCCCAGCTGACATTCTAAACCATGAGGAACTGATGAAATTACAAACAAGGACTGGGAATATGTGCACAGCTGGGAAATGGAGCTATATGAATTTTACATGTTTCTCTAATAAAAATATTCACTTTGGTGTACAATACATACTGCCCTTGTGGGCACAAAATACAGAGGCACAAACACCAAGTCATGTCCTGCCTCCTATAGGAAAATGTAAACTCATACTAGCTATTTATTTTTTGCAGAGCTAGGGATGGAACCCAGGGCTGTGCATGCTAGGCAAGTGCTCTACCACTAAACTATATCCCAGTTCAAGTTTTCATAGAGATTAAAAATACAGGGGAATGCTTTGGAACAAAATTTAAAGGACAACGAAGGAAAATTCTAAATATTTTCCTAAGTAAAAGAAGCCTAAGTTCTCCTTATATAAATATTATTTGCCTACAGTAAATCTTGAATGAAAAGAAAAAAAACAAACAAATTTTAATATTACTTCAAGAAAATTAAACTGAATTTCAAACACTGGCACTTAACTAAAACACTTTCAAATGTTTCTATATCATTGAATGTGGAACATACCTGTATAAGACTGCTCGATCTACACCAAAAGCTCCTACAATTAAGTCTTAAGAGAAAGTTGGAAAAACATGTTAATACCAATAATGATGGCTTTAAAAATTTGTATTTCATTTTATAAAATGTTTAATGCAATTAAAAACATTTACATATATTCTTAAAAACCAAGAAGTTGAGAGATACATGTATATGGTTAAAATATTTGAAAACTGTAAATAAGCTTTCATCAGTACAAACACTCATAATAAACTAGACTCATCCACATGGATTAGAATCATTTTGTTTTTTTCCTAAGAGGAATCTTTTCAAATGAATATTTGATAAAAGGAGCAACAAAAAGAAAGTGTATACCCCCCAAACATACATATCCCCAAAGAAAAAAGGTTGATAGTTGTCTGTGGAGTTTATAATTTCATTATAAAATTTCTTTTTTCTCCACTTCTCTCATTCAAAAACAAAAGAAAGCCTAAAAAGCACATACATACATGTTGAATGTGATAGCAGATACCATTCAAATCAGCAAGAACAAAATGTACTCCTTTTACACATAACTAGTGTAACAGGTTCATAACTTGGAATAAAATGAAATCAGAGCTCCATCACACAATATACCCAAACTAAATATGAGGAAGCCCCTTTCTAAATAGAAAGGCATATGAGAAAACATAAAGACAGTATATTGAGTTATATAAGAATTTAAAAACCTCTTTATACCGATACAAAGGTGAAAATATAGACATTAAGGAGTGACTATCTTCAATATTTAAAGAAGTCTATATGTTTAAAAATGAATAAATGAAAGAAAAGAAAAATGTATTTCAATAGAAAAGGAGAAAAAACATAAAAAGGAAATTACAAAAGCAGATCTACAAATAAACAAAAAATACTCACTAAAAATCAAAAAACTGTTAACTGAAATAAAGTAATATTGTCCACCGATTATATACTCAAAATTATTTAAAAACAGGCAGAAGTATGGGAAAATAATCACTTGTTTCTTGTTAATAGGTGCTTTAAAAAGTAGACAAAAACCACTTCACAGAGGGAACAGAACTGTAACTTGACAGTGTTCTAGAACAGTCTTAAAACTGGATACCTTTGACATAACAATTTTAGAATCTTATCATAAGGAAATATATGGAGGTATGCAACAGATATTTACACCTGTATGCACAAAGATATAAATGTCAAAAAATAAGGTAAAATAAGATATGATATAGCTATTCCTTAGAATGGGAAACAAAAAAATTCATGTTTTAGATAATAAATTAAGGAAATTTTTCTGATAGTGTATGTGACTAAAAACAGTAAATATGATTTTGTTTTGTTAAAAATACTTATGAATGTGGAGGAAAAAAGATTGGATAGATATATTTTGCTGTATTTTCTACGAGCTCAATAATAGACATATTGTCTTTATAACAGAAAGAAACTCAGAAATAATGTCAATTATAAATAAAAATAAGCTTATGACTTATCTCTAGAGGTACTTCACCATAATTGTACATTGAGCTCATTCTAAGTATTTCAACAGCAATATCATCTAAGTTTTCTGAACTTTATTTCATGTAAAGAAAAGATCCATTTAGATTCCAAACCCATTAAAATACTCTAAGTGTGCAAAAGCCTAAAAATGGTCTTCTTTGCTCAAATGGATCAACTCAACGTGCAACCCTAGGAAAGTCACCTTCCCCAGTCTCTTTTCACATCCATAAAATGATCCAACTTAGCTTATATTTCTCAGTCTTTACTGGGAAAATTAAATGAAATACTGTATGTTTTTAAAATCACAGTGATTAGTCAAGTGCATAAAAATGCTAGCTCATTAAAAACAAAAAAGTTGGCTAATTTTAAAAAACTTGGAAAGAACATTTAGCTTCTATAAGATTTTCTATGATATTTTGTTAGACTGCAAAATAACAGAAAAAAAAAAACCCTGAGTATGTGCTTCATACTGTACTCCCATGAAACAGAGCTTTCTCTTCTTTCTATCCCTTTCAGTGATGAGCAATGAGAACAATTTGTTGAATACACTAGAGATTTGATCAACACTTGAAATGTAGAATTGAAATGATTTAAAATATAAATTAAGAGAACAGTAACTGGGCTGGGGGTGTGGGTCAAGTGGTAGAGCACCTGCCTAGCAAGGGCAGGGCCCTTAGTTCAAATGCCAGTAACACACACACACACAGCAATTGATACTTCTTGCTGTAAGGACTGAAAAATCAAAGAGCCACATGTACTTGTCAGAAAGTACCTGGATATCCATTTCTGTCTATGTCTGTGGCTCCCTTCATTGAATAGCCAAAGCTTGGGGGCATGCTCTGGGCAGCCCATTGCCCTTCAAGGACTTGAGACGGTACTGCATTCAAGCCTGTTGCTCTTCCATTAAAAATATAAACGATTCCTTTTTTATCTTCACCCCCATATGGAGCAGCAATTGCAATATCTGTGGAGGAAAAAGAAAGAGTGGGTAGGGAAGAAAGGAGGCAGAGAAGAAGGGAAAGAATGAGTTAGGGAAAAAGGAAGACCAGAAAGTGGGCTAGGATGGAGAGAAGAGATTCTTAGTCCTTATAATTATTAATATGGAGATCTTGCTATTTATAGATCCCATTTATCATGACAAATACTGATTCAAAGTTTGGTAGAATGTTCTTTATTCAAAAGTAACAATCTAATTCAAGGAGATTTAAGCAAGACTATGTAAAACTGACACATGTAATATGTAATAATGTGTCTGGGTTTGACCATAACCTTTCTGGACCTAAAATGCTTCATCTTTAAAACTGGAGGCAAATGACGGGAGGGGTAAATGTAAAAACTTCATTTAAAGTTTATTCCAGCTCTTAAAATTCTCAAGATAATTCAACAAAGCACAGTGGTTCACACCTATACTCTCAGCTACTTGGGAGGTGGAGACTGGGAGGATCATGGTCTGAGGCCAGCCTAAGCAAAATTTAGCAAGATCCTATCTCAACCAACAGTTGTGTGTGATGGCAGGCATGTCATCCCAGCTACACAAGAGGTGTTAAGTAGGAGGGTCTCAGTCAAGGCTGGCCCAGGCACAAAATGCAAGACCCTATCTGAAATATAAAACCAAAAAGGGCTGAGGGCATGGTTCAAGTGGCAGAGTACCTCAGCAGAAAGCCAAAGCTCTGAGTTCAAACCTCGCCACCACCTATAAAATTTATTTATGCACATTTTATTATTTTTTCTGAATGGAAGATAACCTAATGCTGAAATTTATTTGAAAGCTATGACTTCATCTTGATTTTGCTCAATTTATACTGAAAAAAAATATAAACATATAGCATTTTAAATTATTTTTAAAACACAAACACAAATGGTTACTATGACCCTTCCTAACTCTAAAATATCTTGCAAATATATTTTGTCTGTTTCTGCTGTCCTTCCCCTGGGTCACTCAGTAGCTCTTAGGTGGCTCCCACTTCCAGACTTGCCCCTATGGCCCACTCTCTTCAAAACTGACAAATGACAATGTTACTGTCTCAGATCCCTCACCTTCTTAAAACCTCTTAATTATTTCCCAACACATTTAAAATAATATCTAAGCCCTACCTGTCTTGTTCTCTACTTACCTTGCAAATCTCATTCCTGCTCTCTTCATACTACACCCCAACTCTTTAGCATCATTCGTCTTCCCAGTAATCCTGGCCTGTGTTGTTTCTTAAACACACTGAGTTGTCTCTCATCACAGGGCTTCCCCTTGTTGTTCCCTCCTTTCTAACAGATTCTGCTCCAGAGTTTGCAAGTCTTGCTCCTTCTGTTTGTACAACCCACAGATCAGACATATCCTGACAAAGAGGCCTTTGTTGGCCCCCTTATCGAGTAATGTGGCCCCTCTCTCAACCCCTACTCTACAACACTTTCAATTTAAATATTTCTATCACATTACCTTTTTATATTTTTAGAAAGTCCACTCATTATCACTTCTGGATTTTTCCATTATTTATTTACTTGCTCTATGGCTCTCTGCAAAACACAGAAGCTCCATGAGATCAAGGACATGCCTCTCTTGTCTCTAATGGCCTCTCTTACCTGCCAGAGCAAACTACTTCAATTTCCTTATTGTGCCCACACCATTTTATATCTCTATACTATCACCCACTGACATACCAAAGATACTTTCATCTCCCATCCCTTACCTGAGACCATTATGCCTAAGATGATCTTAAAAACTGTCACTCTCACATTTTAGTGTTTATTTTTTCACATATACGTTGCCCCTATTGAAATGCTGAGTTAAGGACATGGGTAGGCGCTGATTTATTCTCTCATTTTTCAGCACCTACAAGAGTGTTTGGTTTTTATAGGCATCAACTAAGAATGTGTTATTCTTTTAAAAAACAATTATTTAGAGACTGGGGGTATAGTGTAGTTCAAATGGCAGAACTGTCCAGCAACTGTGAGGCCCTAGCTGTAATAAAGCATTTACATTATGTAAAGTGTCTCTCTTTTATCCTTTTCTAAGCTTTAAAAGATAAGCATAATTTCTAAATTGATATAGCACTAAGAAAATATTTACTAAAATATAATTTCCCAACAAAGGATGACGCTAATACTGATATTATTTGATATAAATTATCTTTAATTTTTCTAAACTCTCAAATACTTTATACATGCTAATTATTTTCTCTCTTGGCTGACATGTCTAGAAAGTCCTATATTTTCATGTAATCAACTTCTTCCTTTGATCATTTTAGTTGCTCTTTTCTGGTTTTTTTTTTTTTTTTAATTTCCTCTCTGCTTTTATGGAAGGACACTGATGAAAACCAAACAAAATTATCCTGGGGATGGTAAAATTGTGGAATGTAACTTCTTGTATGGCTTTCAATATCCCTCTTGGTGATACAGTTTTCTGGTGGGATAGGTAGAAAGGAAGGAATATAGGAGCAATAGAACTGAATTCATCAGGTATAAACAAAAACAGAACCATATTATAACTAATGGCATATATATATATATATATATGCTTATATAATACACCTCAGGTAATTTTTCACAGACATTATAATTACAGCCTACTTACTATTTGGGATAACAAGACACAAGGAAAAATCTTGGCAGAGCTTCAACACCCTCTGTAGTATCTATCTCTAAAAGTAAAACCTCTTGGAAAATCTTTGTAAAACTTCAAAATTTTTAGCTGTTTGTATTTGTTGTATTGACAGACTACGCATTATAATAAAAATATGAAAAGCAGTATGAGATAACTGACTGGATCACAGTATCAAGGAAACGTCTTTAAAGTAAGTGGAATACCTTCAAGACAATTCCTTCAGGACAAAGTGACAGCAAATATGTCTGGCTTTCTCAGAAAGCTAGGAAGACAGAGATCCAGATCTATTGTAAAGAACTCATTAATTTTATGCCAGGTAGTACTTCAAATATGGCCCTTTATTTTCTAGGTCATTTTTGTTATTAGTATATCTTGTAATCTGTATTTCATATATCTAATTTGTAACATATATTTTGTTACAAATTTTTTTTTCTTTTTGCTTCTAAAGAGTCTTTATAGTCCTATAATAAACTCTAACTTTGCTTTTCAAAGATACCTAAAAATAATGAAAGGGGACTATTATAAAACAATGGGCATATGAATAAAATAAAAATTAAAAAATAAAAATAAATAAAATAAATAAATGAAACAATGGGCTTATAACTTTTACATATTCCCATGAAGAGACTTACAAGCTCACGCAGAATGTCCTTCACAGATGCAATCAAAGTTATGGCTTAAAAATATTAGTGGCAGCCAGGTGCTAGTAGCTCACCCCTGTAATTCTAGCTATGTGAAGGCTGAGATAGGGAAGATCACTGTTTGAAGCACTGTTTGCCTAAGCAAATAGCTGGCGAGACTCCATCTCCAAAAAAAACCAGAGCAAAATGGACTGGAGGTGTGGCTCAAGTGGTAGAGTGCCTGCTTTGCAAGTGTGAGATCTTGAATTCAAACTCCAGGACCCACCAAAAAATATACATATATATGTATGCATATAGATGTATATATGTATTTTAGTGGCGTATCCTACTCATGAAGAGTGCATCAGTCAGCTTTGCCTTGAACAGGTGCCTGGGAGCATTTATTCACTTGTAGCCAAATGGACAGCAGAGGGCACTGCTGCTCAGCAGGACACAGAAAATCACCAGCTAGCACTGGGCTCCACTGGCAGGAAGAAGAATCCTTTCAAAAACTTGACACTCTGGCTTGAGGCTGCTTGAATAATAATTTACAAGAGAGTAATTTCTGAAATTTTTGCTTATTTTTAAGGGGAAAAAAAGTAGTCTATCTTTAAATTTGACATGTCACTCAGCAATACCTATTCCATCCTTCCAGAAAGGCAATTTGCCTATGTGAGCTATGCAAAATCTAGAGATAGGATTTTAGGACTTTTTTCCTTGTGAACACAGAAAATAAGGAACGCACAGTTGCTTAACATTGACCTTACCATTGAAGCCATCCTGGTCCAGGTCTCCCAAGGAGCTATGGCACTGCCAAACCGTGCAAAGACCTCAAACCCATTCAGCTTTGTAGTCTGGAAGTCTCCTGAAGCTCTTTGCAGAGACACTGACACCTGTCCCACCTCTTGAAGTTTGCCATCAGAGCCTCGGTCCATGAAGAGAGGTGCTCCAATAAACACGTCTGCATAACTAAAGAACAAAATCTTCTCACCACAGCAAGATCAAATTCCATCTGCTAGTAAGCACTTTCTTACTAAAACTCTACTTTCCTCTTTATTCATCTCTCTCAAAGGTACATCAAAATACAAAACCACCATCACTGCAGTCACTAAAGCAACTACAGATGCTGCTAGTTACCAAACCTGAATTCTAGTTCAGTACCAGAATCCAGACTGGACCTTGGAAACCTGCAGCATGTCACCCTGCCACACAACAACCCATGACCCTTGACTTCAAAGTCAAACCTTCCCTTGATTCCTTGAAAAATCATTAAAAGAATTTTCATGCTATAAAATTTATTGAAAAAAAACATGACCAACACAAAGTAATATTCATGATTAAGGTTGATCCAAATTGCTTCCCTAAAAAGAAAGGCTACTAGCAGAAAGGGACAAAGAAATGGGGAATATGTTTAGTTTTAGTAAAGCATTTGTAAACACAGGAGGGAAACAGTTTCTGGAAACATTTTTTTCAACTTACTCATCCCCATTAATGTCAGTGGTGGCTACAGAAAATCCAAAATATGCAGCCATCTGAATAAGAGATGAAAATAAAATGTTTATATATCATCCTAGTGGATTAGACAATCAACATTTGTGGTATATGTATCACATAGAATGGAATATTTTTTCTTTGCATATAGGGTTTCAGTCAGAGTATCTTGTCTTTTATATGTTCTATCAACACAATGATAATCAGGCAGTGAGGCTTATTTATTCTCTGAGATTTATGGGCAAAACATATTCCATGAACACCATTCCAATGTCTTCGACATGTGCCAGTTAAGTCCAACTAGTGTCAATTTTCCTTTTCAAGCCTGGCCTATTCCCCTTCATTCCTAAAAAGAGTGTGTTTATTAGACACATTAACAGAAAGATAAAAGTCATAAACAGGCATTTTGCTTGAACCCAAGATGATTTGAATTGAACCCATGGATGCCTTTGCAGTGAGGAAAACAGATTTTTTAGTAATAGGTAATTATTAATAATAGGATACTATTATTATTACTAATAAAAACAGATACTTGGAAGACAGAGACAGGAGGGTCCCAGTTCAAGGCCAGCTTGATAGTGAAACCTATCTCAAAAACAAGCCAGGTGTGGTGGCACAAGTCTCCAGGAATTCTGGAGGCAGAGAAAGAAGGATTGTGATTGGAGGATAGCCAGGGGAAAGTCAGCGGGAAACTTTTGCTGAAAACAAACTAAAAGCAAAAGAACTAGGGCCATAATTCAAGTGGTAGAGCATTTGCCTAGCACGTGTGAGGTCTTGAGTTCAATCCCCAGTACCACAAAAGGAAAAAAACAAATAGTAATAGATAGTAATTGGCTCTCCCTAAGTGAAACTACTAAAGAAACTACTGTTTGGAAAGATATGGAAAGGAGTCCTTGTTGTCTCACATTTCAGTCAATAACTTTCCAGATGGTTCTGCTTTGGAAGTGCAAATGCATTTGAGTTTATTACGGGCTCATGACGCATAGGGAAAAGAAGTCCTCTCACCATCACAGTCAGAACAGCCTCGCTGGAAATAGATGTAAAAGGCAAAGTTCTAAAGAAAGCCCCACAAGCAATAGAAAAAAAGGAAGAAGGCAGATTGAAGATGGCTATAGTGAAGACTGAATCACCAAAACAAAAAAGGAAAGACAGCAATGTTTGGATAGCAATGTTTGCAAAATTTGATTCGCTGAAATGTCAAAGATAAAGGGAGTTCCTCCATTATCTAATCAGGATTGGTACAGTATAAATGAAAAAGTGAAAGGCACGTTTTACATTCAATGACAAGTAAGAGCTTATGTAATACAGCATGCTGCGTTTGGGGTACCATCATGATGTGCTGGCTGGAATGTAAAAGAAGAGTTTCTTTCCAGGTGTTTACCTAGAAAGTATAAAGGTTGGCATTTACTGAGACAAGTTTTGTCCTGTGCACTACGACTAAATTATCTTCATTTACACTAATGCCATAAGGAAACTGCCAGCATCCCTGTTTTCTATAAGTGAGGAGCCAGATTTACAGAAGTGAACACTCTGTTCAACGCAATAGCAGACAAAGCATGGACAGCCCAGGACAGTACTCATCAAAGTCCAAGTTTCCTGCCTGCCACCTCTAACAGCTAAGGAGGAATACAGCAAGCATCCTGGACAGCACACAGAGGGATTCAGAGACACACATGGACATTAGAAAGGACATGCTGCTTGACCTAAAGAGCAGCGGGAAGGGATAACCACCCCTACAACAACCCTAACCGCCTGTCGACTGCATGCCACTTTGTGCAGTGTGCCTACCATGCCTGCCACACTAAAGGGAAGAGGTTTCTAGGGGTCATGAATTTCATTCCTTATCATGTCAATCCTTTTCCAAAGCCAGTAATCTCTACTGAACAAGTGGGCTTTAGTCCTAGATCTGCAAAGTATAAGAAGGTTTTTTCCTCTACTTACTGTTTAATCTTCCCTTTATCATTATCAATGCATTATACATACAATCCAGAATGTTATAAAATGCCTATACTTGCAGAGAACATCCAGTACTGAAAAGAACTACTTTTTAACTGAAGAATATTTTATTTCTTGTAGTAAAACTCAAATTTGCTATATCATCTATAATACACACATCTGGGACAAGCTTTGTTTCGCATCTAATAAAATTAAAAGGCATAAATCATTCCTTAAGGGAAATTTAATGACATAAGCAAAGAAAAAGGAAGTTTTATGGTTTTGTGTGGGTGCAATTTCATTTTTTATTTCCTAAAAAAACCAAAAAAGCAAACAAACACAAGTCATTTATGCAATGACAAAAGACTTTTGGTTAAACAAACTACTTTGGTTAAAACAAAGTTAAAATATTTAAAGCATCTATGTGTGTGTATAGATATATATATATATATAAAATAACAACTATTACTGAATCATTAAATTATTTTAATACTGCCAAGAAAAGTTTTAAGATATTAGGAAATGCTGATGACACAAAGTTGACTGAAAAAGCAAGACATAAAATTTAAAATAGATTGGACTAATTTTACACACATGAGATGGGATTATAGGTGACTTTTACACTTTACTTTCCAAATTTTCTCCTATGCATATATTCTGTTTTTATAATGAAGGGGTTAACATTTTAAAAGCATACCTGCTCACCAGTAAAATTGTGTAAGGAGGACATGTTTTTCCCATCATAAATATAAACCTATATAGGAAAAATAAGAGTAAATGAGGTATAGTAAAATAGAAGGTAACACATATTTTTAAAAACATCTTTCATCTCTCCTACCATTCCCAAAGTCCTTGCTGCTCTTGGAACTCCTGAAACAAAGTCTGAGAAGAGAAAACAAAAACTTGATTACGAGTTTTAAAGAGCAACATTGGAAATCGCAGGCATAAGTGGCTATGCTACAGATCTTTAAGTTTTGCTATTTCAGTAGAAAATAAATAAGAGATTTTTAAAAATTGATACTCCATATAAACAACTCCAGCATTTTAATTATAAAATCAAAATTTAGAAAATACTGAAACATCCTGAAGGACTCAAATATATGGAAATGAATCTTTAAATCATTTATAATCTTGTTAAACAAGAATCAATAAAATGAAGTAGCTTAAGAACTAAGAAAAAAAAAATCTAAGCTTGCTAAACCAAGCTCTGAAGGGTAACAAACAGGACGGGGCTAACAATCTTACAGACTGTGTCCAAAGGTTACAAATCAAACCTAGAAGGAACTAATCCTTTCCTAGAGAACAGAATTTGCTGTGAGCAAGGAAGAAGGAGCTGAAGAAATCACTGACAGTGTGGAGGCTGGGGAGGGAGAGAAAGGAAAGAACCCAACTCCCACAACAGCTATCCCCAGTTCACAGAGGAGATGCAACAGAGACCCAGCCTGGACTCTGCCACGATCTAATTCCTCCTCACTTCTCCTGTTAACATTCTAGTACAACGCTTTCACATTGAAATGAGTATTTCCAATGTCATGTGTTTCAAATGCTTAATTTAAACTTTTTTTTAAAAAAAAGGGCTAAATATAGTACAAGTGCTTCATACCATCTACGCCATCACCATTGAAGTCTCCAACAGCCACTGAGTAACCTAGGTGAGAACCAAAGGAGAGAGAACCATGAAGGCAGAGTCCTTACTGATGAGCTTTCCTTCAATGTATTTTCTCCTCTACGGCAACCGACTCACATGTACGTCATGAATGAATCTTAAAGGCAGTAAGTCAGTTACATACTCAGAGTAGCTCTACTAGAAAAATAAGACCATTTTATTCACTTCACAAAGGAATCTGTTAAAAATAGGCTAAATTTGGAACTCATCAGAAAGGAAGAACAAATAACAGATGCTTTCAGTCAGCAAGTAGTACTTCTCTTGTGTGTGACTTGTTCTCATAAATGACAAAGAAATTTAGAGAGAGTAAACATTAATAAATCCTCACAGTAATTTAACAAGGTCTTAACGTTCAATAGTTACAGTGCCTACACTGGATGCTCAGAAGAGCAAGTTATAAGTGTGTGACTATAGGCAAGCGATGTTGCTTCTCTGTGCTTCGGTGATATGATCCACAAAATGGGAATAATAATAATAGTGCACTTTCACAGACTTGTGAGGATTAAATGAGTAAATACAAATAAAACACTTAGAACAACGCACATTTTAATGTTTAGTTATTGCCACTACATCCTTCTTCAATTTCAACTACTGAAATGTAACAAAGTTCTCAGTAACAATTTACAAAATTGTATGTGCCCTATATATTTCACACAAAGTATTTTTCTACTTGAAATACTACATGTAAATAATAGAACAACTATATCACAACTCCAAAAAAATGAGTTTTACTTACCCAAATAACTGTCATCAAAAATTGCTTGTGCTGTCCGAGTTGCTAACTGGTTATTATACTTGATGCTGTAAACGTTGGGGTCATATTTAGATACGATTTCTGCCACTTGATCTGAAATGAGCTGACCTTTAAAAAAATAAATACACAAATATAAAACATAAAAAACTTCTAATTGGGAACTTTATGATACGGATATCCTTATGAGGGAACGAAAACAGTATTGGATAGTAGCATTCCTGTTTTTTGTTGGTTTTGTTTGTGAGATAGGGTCTCACTATGTAGCCTAGGGAGTCTTGAACTTGCGATCCTCCTATCTAGGCCTCCTGTGTGCTGGATTGTAGGAGTGTGCCGCCATGCCTGACTAGATGCTGATATTTCTGTTAGTCTTAAATAACTCTCCTTGATAATGCTAAATTTGAAATTGATCTTATTTTTTAACTTACAATTATTTCTATTCAGGACAGTACTTAAAATAAAAGTGTCTGCTAATAAAATTTTTAAAACAAAGGATTTGACTTAATTTACTAAAAAATCAATGTTAAATAGGTAGAATAATGAAATCAACATCTATTTCCCAACCATATTCATTATAACTTGAAAAAGTTACTGAAGCAATTAACTTTATAGTCAGAACTGGTTTAACTGCTTTATGAAGCAACTTGAAAGGTGAGTTCACGTTTGCTGTCTTAAAAATACAGTTAAAAAGCAGTCCTAGTCAGCATGGTGGCACATGCCTGCAATTACAACACTGAGGAGACTGAGGAAGGAGGATATCCAGTTTGAGGCTAGCCTAGGATACATAGCAAGACCCTGTATTACCAGAAAAAAAGAAAATAAAACAAAATCACCATTCCTAACAGAGAATCACAAAGTCTAACTTCCTAGGCACACTTATCAGATACTTCCCTCTCCTCTACTGAATGCCCTATGTAGTAATAAAGAATAAACGTGTCCATGTCTGTTGGTTTGATTTTATTCCTTTTTTTTTTTTTGATGGTGCTGGGGACTGAACAGCCTCTTGCATATGAGGCATACTATGTGCTTCCCCACTTAGCAACACATCCCCAGGCAATAAATCAGTATTTCTATACCAATAAGAGAGAATTAATAACCACCATTTTCTCCTGAGTACTTTAGAAGTACTACTTTTGTTTTAAATTAGTAAAACTCAATTGCAATCTTTCAGAATCAATTTTATGGCCTAATAGATAAGTAACATATGGAATTCAATTCAATTTTAAGTTTTAGTATGTCTCACAAGCTGATCCCTGTTTGATGCCTGATTTTTTTCCTGTTTTCATCTCCTCTTTTGTCTTCCCTTTCAACTTTTCATTTACTCCTATTTCTCATTCCTTCCATCCTATTTTCCTTCAGCAAATGTCTCCCTTTTGTTCCTCTTTCTATAAAGGATATGCAAAGCAGGTGGTTTCTCACAAAAAAAAAGTGAGGAAAACATAGATAGCATAGAATGCAAATGTAAAATTCAGAATTAAAAAGTACTTTCAAATCACTTTCCAAGTCTTCCAAATACTGGCAATGTTTAAAATGTTAAACTGCTAATAAAGTTCTGACCTTGTAGCAGCACTTTCTGGCAGAAATTAAACACATCAATATATTAACTAAATACATAACTATGTATCTCTAAGGATAAATGAAACATAAAGAACGCAAATAAACTGATTTAGTTACCTGTTTTCAAACTGCCAACAATAATGATCTTGTATACATTTATTCAAACGGTAACTTAATTTAGGCTTCCCACAATGACTAAATCAATCAACTGAAGTTTTACATCAATGCCAGTTTAATTATATTTTTAAAATCTTAATAAGATCTTCTATATTTAAAAAGTCCCCAACATTTAAGAGATTATTCTTGATGTCAGTGATTAATGAGAAAATAACCACTTAGGAATTCCAATAAACAAATTCAAAATAGTTTTAAAATCCTGAGCTTTCACAATACCACAACTGCCTTCAGGTTAGCTTCTCACACTCACTGTGCGATGCTTGCACCATGGACTCAGGAGTGCAGGAACAAAGTACATGCCATGTAGAGTAAAAATATTGCTGAATATAATTTTATGCTTATACTTTATAATTTACCTATTTAACATATATAACATTAAGTGTATGTTACAGTCTTTTTAAAAATGTTGTATGACACTTTGGTTTCTCTTCAAATCGCATAAATCTTTTGCCTTTTACTAAAATGTGTGACAGAGTACCTATACTAAATACATTTTACATTCTTTTCTTTAAATTAATTTGAAAATTTTCATAAGTACATGAGTATCCAGAACCAAAAACATTTAGACCCTACTGGGTAGGTTAATAAATACTAACTTACCTTGCCAGTAAAAGCTACCAGGACCACCAAGAAGTACTCTGTCAGCCTAGATTGAATCAAAGAACAAAAGGATATATTTCAAAACAAGTAACTTTAAAAACAAATCAATGCAATAAGCATACAGGATATTTATGTGCATTTATATCTAGTATATAAATATTAAAACCATAAATCTCAAACTCATCTAACTCAATTTCAATAGTTTCCACTGTACCTTTCCTAAAATAAAATTAAAAAGTAAAGTTGTAATACATTCATTTAGCATATGAAAACATTTTTTCAGTAGATCTTGGCTATTTTGTACATTTTGAATGAAGTACTAATACAAATATTATTAGATTACAACCAGAAAAAAGTTACTCCTTAATTTTATATATTAGTTCTGTGATTACTTAAGGCAAATTTTCTCATAAGCACTGGAAAATTTTCTGCTAAAGGAAAACTACTTTTAGTGTCTCATAGATCTAAACAGGTGGGAAGTTAGAGAATGAATTTCTATGAAGTATATAGTTGACCAGCATTTCTTACATCTGTAACAAACTTCTGATATTGAATTCAAAGAATTTTATGTTTGTGCACAGTGTGATGGGAATTTCTCCTCACTGGTGGAAAGAGAATATTTTTCCCCTCCAAATGTACATACATACACCCTTTTCAAGCTTTCAGTAATCTCCTGCCCTGGTTCTATAAAAGATTCTTCCAGACTGTCTGCCTTAAGATAATTTCCTCTTTTCAGAAATGGGTTTAAGGAAGTGAATGGTTAATTTCGCAATGACTTACACATTATAAGAATGCTTCTGGGGAAATAATTTTACAGGTATAAGTACAGAGAATATGAAGACTTTTTTAAAAAAATAACATCTGTTTGATAATATAGCATGTAAACTCTGAATATTTATTAACATACTTTATTTCTCTTCATTTGACGTCCTTAAATTTTGAATTATAGGTAATATAAAGCTGAGTGCATTAAAATAAATTACCTAGTGAAATCGATTACCTAGTGATAATTATCAGTATCTAGAGCAGAAGGTAAACTAAAAATAAAGATAAAATCAAAATTTTTAAAGAAAATGCTTCATTAGTTCTTTAGCATCACAATTTTAGTTTCTGTTGCTTTCATAAATTTGAGGCACTCTTTATTGCTCACATTTTTCAAGAAGGCTATAGTAAGCTTTCGAAGGAGGCCCCATGGTTTTTTGTTACCATTTGTTTACCTACGCTTTGCTTTTGTGTGTGAGTTTATAGTTTTTGCCTTTTTAGAGACAGGGTCTTGCTGTTGTAACTCAGGATTGCCGGGAACTTGAGATTCTCTTGCCTTACTCTACCAAGTGCTAGGATTACAGAAGTACACACCACACCTTGCTTAGAAAGCTCCACTTTCAATCAGTTGATATATTTTTGCAACTTCAAATTATTCTCAATTTGATATTAAAAAGGTTCAGATGCCCACCAAAAAAATAAGCAAAGAAATAACAAATAAGCAAAATAAAAGTGTACTTAAGAAAAATTATTTTAGAAAATATAAATGAAAATTTCATTTTAGAAAAACAGGTTGAAAACTATCGATTCTGAAGAGCTAAATTAGCTAAGAATGAGCTCATTTAGCTAAAAATGCATATAGTCCTACACATAAAATTTTCTAATTATTAAATTGTCACAGTTTCACTTGGTACCTACAGGCACAAAATAAATAGCAAACATCCATGTTTATCATATAATTTAACTCTAACTGTATAACAAAGCTCCTATTGACAGCTTTTGTGACAAATCAGTTTTAGTTGAAAATAAATTTTAATATTCTATAAATTCACATAAATGGAAATTTATTAAAATTAAATCATAATAGTTACCAATCATTTACTGAGTAGATTCTCTACTTTCATCCATTCTCACTGTGATGCCTCCCTATTTCAAATATGAAATATGATATGAATGGGATGCTTTATTAACTATTTTCATTACCAGGTAATAGTTACAAAGAAGCTGAACGAGTGACCAGTTTATTTTTAACCACAGCTGAGTCGTAACTTAGATGCAAATGAATCTCATTCAGTCTTAAATAAGAACTTACTTTAGTAAAATCAATGCTGAATCCTCCTTGACAAAATCCCTGTCCATCAGCATCAATATTTTCTAAAATAAAAAGATTGGAAAAATACACAAACCCAAAAACAAACAATAACACAAAACAAAACATGAGATGATTCTGGTATTACTAAAATCATAAGATAATCTACTAGTTTCTGCGAGTGGTCATTCACTCAAGCACTTGATTATCATCGTACTCTGAAAAGGTTAGCATATCCAGCATCACCTCCTCAGATCTGGAAACAGGGACATTGAAGTACCTGGACCAGTCACCAAGAATCAAAGACCAACTAAGTCAATGGACTGAGAACTTATTGTTTTAACCACAACCCACAGCAATGTTACAGTTTATATCACAATTTAACACACACCGTGTATGTGTGAAATAGATATATAACTGACACAAAATTCCACAAAACAATATTACTATTATACATAATATTCTAACACTGTCTACTTTATTGCATTTCATTTCTTAAAGAAAATCAGTTGTGATCTGCTATACATAAAAATTAATGAGTTTTGATCTGCAAGTTAAAAACTCCAATCTGAAATATCTCTTCTTATTATCCTAGAGTTGCTAGGTCTTTCCTAAATTATTTTAAGCAATAGCAAAGAAATACATACATTTTCTATACATATATTTTATATCCAGCAATAAAAATTTTTTAAATTATAAATAACAGTTATAATTTCAGAGAGAGGCAAGGCCCAAATTTAATGCTCTGTGAAGAGCAATATATGCAACCACCCTCAGAATACATGTAGTACTGGGGTGTAATTCAAGTGAACATCTTTAAACATGACACTTTAAATGTGTTTTCCAACCATAAGAGATTCAAAAGATTTGCTCTTTCAATGTAACAATTAAATAACTGACCTATTAAGTTAACTTTAATCATGAGCAGTACTACACCTAGAACAGAGGTAAGGATGAGTTTAAAGACTTCCCCCTTGTTTTACATAAACGATAGCAAGGAACACTTGAAGACACCATCCTTCAGTAATCGAAGAATTCTTGCAGTCAATGTTACAAAGCTATAAAAAGTCACTACTGTGTTGGTCACCAAATATAGGAACCAAAAATATCTATTTTCAGCCACAAGGACAAATTTCCAAGATTTTTTCATTAAATAATCCCATCAAAAATTTTGTACCTATTTTTAAAATCTAGGAATTGCCCCAAGATTACACACTGAGTATCAGAGTGTAATACTACTCCAATGTAAATTTTTCTAGCCAAGAGGGAATGGGAAAATGAGAGACTGGAGTTTCCAGCGTCTAGTGAATCATACAAGGAATCCACTTTAACCTCAAGTCAGCCATGTATTTCCTTTGTTCAAGTTGCATCTGGGAAATTATTTCAGGCTATTTATAAGTACATCCTTTTTTGATTACCATACTGTACAACTATCTGCTTTATTTGGTTTCCCAGAACATCCAGCTGAAAAACAACACTGTTCTTAAAATTTCTGAATAGGTACATACTAAACTAGGTGTTTCTGACAACTTAAAAACTTTCACATTGAAAACAATTTATTTCAGTGGACACTTTGGTGTTTAAGTCTACAGATGGTTAATACTTCTTCCACCTGTTAAGTCTTGCAATATGGTAAGTGTGAATGTTGCTGATTTTAATAGCAAGATCAGCTCTTACTATAAGCCAGGTAATGTACTAAAGCATTTGACATGGCATTTCTTTTTAAATCTTTATGGTGGTCCTAGGAGAGAGATTATTATTCACAATTTGTACAGACAAGGAAACTAATGCTTAGAGAAATTATATAACTTGACAATATTCAACCAGCCAGACAGGAGTGTAGGCCTGAATCTAAGCATGTCCACACTACTATGCTGCATGATCTCAAATGAACAACATTTATTTTCTGGGTGAAAAAAAAGTAGAAGGCAAAGCCAGTGCGAAACCATAACTGAGAAAATGTTCAAATAACCTTATTAAAAAGTGAGAGAGACTTTGCAAGCAAGAAGCCTGGAATTCAAACCCCAGTCCCACCAAAAATTATTTTTTTAAAACACCAAGATAAAGATAAATAAATAAATAGAGACAGAAGAAACAAAGGACTCCACTGAGCATGGTGTCGAAAGAGTGTTTACATCATATGACTTGTGGCTCAGTCATCTGGTCTATTGCATAATGCCAAGAATGGCCAAAGATGCAGTTATAAAGAAAGCCAGAAGCATTCAAAATCAGGAATAAGGTAAGTTGGTAACAGAAGTTGCTTGTCTAAGGTATGCACAAAATTCAAACAAACTAAAAAAGTAAATAAATAAAGATAAACAATCCCCTCCACAAACGACCACAACCAAGATAAGCAAAGCTATCAAGAAGTTAGCAATGAGGATGGACATATGGCTCATGTGATAGAGTGCCTGGTTAGCAAGCACAAAGCCCAAAGTTCAAACCCCAGTACCACCAAAAAAAAAAAAGACAAGTTAGCCATGTAGCACCACAAAACTGGCATCACCACGTAAAACCAAATACTGGGTTGCATCATGACGAAAACATCAAATACTGAAATTGTACCTCATGTGTGCTTGTACCAATAATGAAACAAGGGCCTAGAGTGTACTTAAGTGAATTAACCCACAGATACAGAATTTGAAATTATAAACCAGATTTTCAAGCTTCACTCCTAAAGTTTCCCCTCTGGACAAGTTGTCCCTCTTAATTTGAGCCTGTAGGTAGCTCAGTATTTGAAAGGCTGGATCAAGCAACATGTACAATAATCAAGGGTTGCTGAAAGCCAGGCCTGTTAGGAAAAATGGCATCCACTCTTGTCTTTTATGGAGTTGTTTTTTGAGCTTCTCCTAAGATTTGAGGTTTTATTGTTTCAATCACAGTTGAATAAACTTTTCTATGAAGGGCTAGATAGCAAATATTTCAGGCTTAGGGGCAAGTACAGAACTACTCAACTTTCCTAGAAAACATATAGACAAATGGGTGTGGCTATTTTCCAATAAAATTTTAGTTATAAAAACCTGATCTGAGAAAACTGACTTAAAATCACATTAAAATTTCTATGCCTAAACCAAATAAGTGAAAACTTGTGACAGATTTACAAGTCATTATTAGAACGCACGTCTTTCAGAAGGTTTCCATGGATTCTCACACATCAGGAATTATCTAAACTAACATGTATGTTAAGAAGCAGGATGTATTCTTCATACAAATGCTATGTTTAAAAAGAATTAATTGAAGTGGAAAACATTTTCTGCTGTTAGTAATGCAGGGAAAAGGTTCCCTAGGCAGACCTAGGGAGCTGGGGATATAGCTCAGTTGTAGAAAGTACTTAGCATGCATAAGACTATGCATTCAATCCCTGGCCCCAAAAAGAAAAACTGGAAAAAAGAAAGACCTAGTTCAAATTCTTATTTGAATGCAGCACTTTTGCTTCAACTGTCTGAATCTATTTCTACATTTCTAAAATGAGAATAAGGGTGACTTTGTATGTGTGTGTGGTGTATATATGCTTCATCAAAAGAAAAGCTAAACTTTGGCACACAAGGCTTAGACTTTATTTATAACTATAAAATTATCTTCTCACAATAGAACATTTTCACAATACAGGAATTAAAAATACAAATTTAGTGCTTATTCTTTTAGGTGATACTAGGGTTTTAACTCAGGGCTTTGAGCTTGATAGGCAAGCACCTAAACACTTGAGCCACACTTCCAACCCTGCAGTCCTTAAATTTTCTACATGTTACCAAAGACAATAGTACAATGACCAAAATACCAACATAAAGGAGGCAATACGATGGTGCCAAACACTGAGGATGAAGTCTTCAATTCCCTCCTCACACATAATACAGACCTAAGTATGTGTCATTCTTTTGATGTTTACTTACTACCTACAAGGGACAGGATCAAGGTGATGGACCAAAAAATACTAAGTGAAATAACCTGCAATTTCCTAGAGGTTCAACTGCTTAAAATTTTGAGGACTGATTTGTTCTTTGACCTAATGCCACATGTCACCTAACGTGGAAAAATAGGAATCTAGCAGGAAGTGTCTTATTTCTAGTACTTTTGTTACTAATTCTCTCTGTCTACTATTTGGTGGCCAGTGGTGCCAAATGTGCAGAATTCAGAAAAGCATAACCAAAATTATGAAGTAATCTTTCGTCACAATATTAATTTCCTTTGAAATTTCAACTAATGTTAGTGAAAACATGAGATCTTCTGGATCACCAAAAGATAAGTGGTCCTGGCAGCAAATTAACATAGAAACTCTGAGTAACAGCTGTGAAATACAAACACAACTCCTAAACTCAATATTCACCTTCCTATATAAACTGGCTCTTTATAGCACATATTTATAGTACTGGGGATTGAACTCTCAAATGCTTAAGGCATTTTAAAACTTTTCCACATCATTATTCATCTAAATCAGTGGTTCTCAAACTTTGATAGCCATCAAAATTACTAGTCGCGTTTGTTAAAGATGTAGGTACCCAGACCTAACCAGACCTAATGGATCAGAATCTTTAGTTGTAAGGACACGCATCTGTAAGAGAAGCTCACTTTAAATCAGATGTTACTTATTCTGAACCAAGGAAAGTGAAAATGAGTTCTTAGAAACAACAAGCCTGTTTACTTTGCATTTGTAATTTCTTTACATTAGCAAGATTATTTTCATTTTGTTCTCATCAATCTCACAATATTTACATATTGTGTCACACATATACATTCACACTTACATACACACTCATTTTAACAAACTAGGCTCCCCACCACCCTTGACAGATAGAAGCAGGTACAACTTCCTATACATACTTGACCTGCATGGTGCATACTCAACAGTCTTTGCTCCATCTTGAAGAAAGCAAGTTCCAACAGGCTCTCTCTCCTGTTTCAGCTCAGTTCTCCAGTGGTACAATGGAGCACAGGCCTAAAACCAAAAGTTTAATCCATCATGTAAACATTCCCTGAAAAATTAGTATTTCAGATCATCTATACTACTACAGAATATGAGCTCACTTCCTAAGCATTATGAATAAATATTTTTTAAAAGAAGCATTTTTCTCACATTCTTCTGAAGGCTGTATCTGTAGTCCATATACATGTTTTCAAAATATTTAGTAAAATTATTTCAGGCAGCATATTTCTTGATTCTCTACACTCAGCTGATAGTCACAAACTGAAAAAACATGTGAACTAAATAATATTCTCATGCATGCAAGATATATAACTAAATTATACAACACATAGTAAAAGTAAAAGAGAATAAAGGAATTTGTAGTTCTTATTTTAATTACTTTCCAAATAAACTTGGAACGTTTTGTTTTTAGAGTTCTAATTTCAAAACCATATGGAAGTACATATTTTTTAATGGTGTATAAATCTACCAAAAGAGTAACAATTTAATTTGCTGGAAGAAAGTTCAATGAATTTCTATAATAATTTTTAAAATAAAATACTAACATTACAGACATCAATACTGGGTTATCTTATATCCAGCTTGATAAGACTGAAAGTAGAATTCATTTCCTCTCTGTACACCCTTGATACTACAAAGTGGATGATTTGCTCCTTTCGCTTATTCTGCATCTTATGTCTTTTTCTTCTTAGCATACCCTCCTCTCAACCTCCCCAACTGCAAAATCTTGACAAACCCTCTAAAGTCCTACAGAAACTTCGCCTTCTAATCAAAATTTTCCATAATGTCACATAATTATATGAAAAAAAAGGACAATATAAAATAAAAAGGAGCCAATTTACATAGGGAAGGGCTCTCTGACAAAATAGAATTAAAGCTGAAATCTGAATGACAGCTAGCACTCCTTGAAAAATCTTGGTTTTCTCTAAGATTTTCATTGCAGAGGGAACACAAACACAAAGGTACAAATTGAAATGACTTGGCACATGGAAGAAATAAATAGAAAGACTTTTGGTTGAAAAACGTTAAGACGGAGTAAAATGATGTCAAAGAGACAGCCTGTAACCTGAATATGAAGATGCTTACAGGCCAGAATGGGTTTTTGATATTTATTCAAGTAGCAAAAGAAACTAACTTGACTGTTTTAATCAAGAAAGTGAATTGCTTGGATTTCCTTTCATCCTTCTGTGGAGATTGGAGTTGGGGCAAGAGAGGAGATAGAGAGATAAAGGAGCAATTGCAATTGCGCAGGTAAATAACAACAGTGACTCACTGCAGGGCAGAAGTCATGAAGACGGACATTAATTGATGAATGTGGGATATATTTTCAAAGCAGATTTAATAGGAAAGCCATGTATCTCAATAAGATGGGGAAGACTTATATAGAAACAATTATTTTTGTTTGTTTATTTGATGGAAATTAAAAAGAGTCCTATTTGGTAATATTGGGGTTTTTGCTTGGTTGTTTTTGTTTGTCTTTCCTTTGGCAGTACTGGAGTTAGAACTCAGGGATTCATGATTGCTAAACAGGCACTTGAGGCACATCCCCAGTCCTTTTTCACTTTAGTTATTTTTCTGATAGGGTCTTTCATGTTTGCCCAGGGGCCAGTCTCAGATAGTGATCCTCCTACATGTGAATCCAGCATAGCTGGGATTACAGATATATGCCACAACCAATGCATATTTGTGGACTGAGATGTAGTCTCCCTCACCTTTTACCCAGGCTGGTCTTGTACTGCAATCCTACTGATCTCTACCCACTGAGTAGATGGAATTACAGATGTGCCCCACCATGCCAGACCTGGTCATGTTCATTTAGAATAGTCTATTAGACATCCAAATGGAAATGCCAAATGAGTAGTTGGAAATATTATAGATCCAGGGACAACTAAAAGCTAGAGATACAGATTTAGGGATTATGACATATAGCGTATACTCACAGACAAGACAAAGTTGAAAACAGAGAACCATCACAATACTCAAAGATACCCCAACATTTAGGAGCAGTCACCCAAGATAGGAGAAAAACCAGGAAAGCATAGTGACACATAAACAAAGGAATGAAAAATATTTTTAAAAGGTGATGTTGAATGGTGTGAGAGGCAATAATGTAAGAATGAGTAAGCACCAATGGAAAAAATGAAGCACCAAAGAGACACACATTTAAAAAGATTACAGCAGAGGATTTCAGTGAGCTGAAAGTTAATGGTGACCTTAGTCTTGCCTACCACACTGACTAGAGTTGATGGAAAGAGAACGTGAAAAGCAGAGATGGTTACTGTAGAAATCTTTCTCAAAACCCATTTAAGAAGAGGTACAAAGGAAAGGGACAATGTCAGGGGAAGATGGAGTAAAGGGAAGCACACTGTATTTTTAAAGAGAAAAAGTACTAAGTGTTTGACTAATCAAAGGCACACTGTACCCAAACTTGACGGGATACAAAGAAACTGATGGGAATGATCAAGTAGAGTGGGGAAAATGAGCAATGTAGAAATGAGGGTGCAAAGAAACAGAAACCTAGCTCAAGAACAAGAAAGATGGTGTCCTTAGATTGTTAGCCTTTGAACAGATTTATCTTATTTTACTCTAACCTGCACCTTTGATCACCCTGAATTTTACTACAGCTGGAAAACATAAATGGAGACACTTCCTATATCTCTACATAAATGAACTCAACTCACCTGTGAGGAAAAACCATAAGACTTACCAAAATTTTATCCTGTTTTGACCTCACAGATGCTCCAAACCACTGGTGGGACTTAAACTCCAATGGATCATCTTTGGCATAATCTCTATTGCCTGAAAAGGAATATTTTAAGAGGTTGAAACAAAATATATTATTTTAGTATAAGAGAGCTTATTTGTATCCAACCAGATTTAGGAATAGGGTACCTTTGATTAATCAAATACTGCATTGCATATTTATCTCATATACTTGATATACATAAGCAACTTTTAAATAATCAGAATAATATAATTCATAATGATTTATAAGTATCTCAGAATGGCTATTAACCCAATAATTATCATAATGCAGACATGAAAAAGTAATTGCAAGTGAAGTTCCAGTTGCTAAATTACTAAATAATTAACTATTAGATAAATACTCTGATCACCTACCTGTCAGTAGTTCTTTCTTTGAAGTAAGATATGTATCAAAAACTAGTTTTTGAAACTCCTTTTACTACACAGGCAATAAAAGACAAGACTAAGATGAGTTACCAATGGTTTTAAAACACAAAAATTAGAACCCAGGAGACATGATTTAGCTGGTAGGGAAAATAATTGGAGTTGGCACACTGCATTAAGACACTTATTTTTCAGGTTCCCCCTGCCCCCCGCTACTATTGAGAACATTATTCCCAATGTGCCAGGTACTAATGTAAACCACTATGGGTTAAAATATATTTCTTCAGAAAAACCTAGATTTAATCAAGAAAAAGTTACAGAAATATATGTGCAAAGTATTTTGAGAAGGAGAAACAATTTTAAAGTCAGGTTTGTTCCTCTTAAAATGCTTTTAATAATCATTTTTATACATGCGTGCCTCAATAACTATATTAAATAATACAGTATACATCTGTCAATTTTAAGAATGGCAGCCATGATGAAAATGTCATGAAAAGATTTAGTCAATCATTCCCATAAACCACCATGCATCCAAGGTAGTACTTATTTCCATTCTGAAGACTTAAGACCAATTAAAGAGTTAAAAATAATTAATGAGAATTTCAATAACACCAGACATCATATAGGTAGGGTGAAGGGTGAAATGTCATTCACTAAAATATTCTCTTAATTTTTTCATCTTGTGGAAAAAATTTAAATGTGTCAATCTACAAAATTTGAAATCTAAAATTCAAGTTTTTTTGGTCAGTGATTGTAAAGGTGCCAGTTTATAAGTTGGGGGAAGGGAAAGGGAGGAATAAATTTGCTGGCGAAACCCCAGCTTTCCAACAGGGTTTGGCTTGCTTGGGAGGCCTGTGTTCATCCTGCTGTCCAAACTGGAAACAGTGCACATCAGTGACTGGAAACAGTGCAAATCACCAAACAGTACACATGCTCGCTCACATTTGCCATCCTCTGACAGTTCATGTAAGACCACTTAACTAATTCTCACTGATCAGGTAAGAGCAGAAGTGGCACCTCAAGTCAGTTAAGAATGGGAAAGAGTTCTCTGAGTTTTCTCTCCCAGCCATGGGACTGTTAGAATAGATAGAATTCTGTTTGGAGGCGGCCTTCGCCCACATCTTTAAGCCACCCAGGACAGCCAAAAGACCCACACTAGATGGTACATGAGCAAGAAATAATCTTTGTTATAAGTGACTAACATGTTACAAGTGAATTACATGTATAATTGCCAAACACTGTTACTAAAGTATAGCCTAGCACATACTGAGTATATTCAAAAAGCATAATGCTATTTCCACAAAGACCTGACCTACAGCCACAAAGAAGCTTAGCCCTTTGAAGAAATGGGTTCAAGCAATAGTTTTTCCAGAATTGTAACAAAAAAAACTCATGGTTTCCATTAAATAGGATGAGTTTTTGCTCTTTGTTTTGTTGTGAATGCACTGCAAGCTGTATTCTCTTTCTTTGTTATAGACTTTCTATTCTATTCTTTTCATGAAAGCATTTTCCTCATCACATTAATGAAAAAGGAAAAATACTGTGTAACTGTGAAAAAAAAAATAGCTGGCCCTTTGAAAAGATTCACCTCTCCTCACTGAGACCACAAGTACCATGATAAACTCAGATAATCTCAGTCAGGGAATTGAGTTTATGAGCTAGCACTTGAATAAAAAGTGCATCGCTCTTACAACTGCTTCTGCTTTCATTTAAAACACAGGCTTTTCAGCAAGGTGAAATTCCAAAGATGTCAAAAACAAAATGATGCAGTGGGACAGACCCACCACTACTATATTCCTGCCAACAAAAGTATTCCTGCCTACAAGATAACCTGGGATACATTCCTCAAAAATGTTAGTGTCATGCAAGCAAACAAAAAATAGGAAAATGTTCTGATTTAAGAAACTAATGAAATGTTGCAGCCAAATGCAAGATTTGACCTTTGACTGAATCTTGTGTCTGGTATTTTTTAAAAGCTACAAAGTAGCTTTAACTGTAGAAATTTTAATATGGATTGTGGAATAGACAACAGTGTCCTAATGATGACATGTTTCTGATGTATGATAATATTCAGTTATTTAAGGGAACGTCCTAGTCTTCAGAGATAAATGCTGAAGTATTTGGGGTAATGAAGCACAATGCCTGCAATAATGGGCAGAGCTAAATGAAGGGTATATCGTTGCTTACTGTTTTACTGTTTCTTATTGTATAGTAATCAATAAGTACACACTTACATACTACAAGACCACAAACAGGATACCTTCTATTTTTCTTTAAGATAAATTCTTTTTTCCATTTGTTCTAATTGTAAGTGTTGAGCTACAAGTACAGCCCAGTGGTACAAGGCCTTGAGTTCTATTCTCAGCACCACCAAAAAGATTAATAAAAACATCAGCCAGACATGTAAATCCTGTAATCCTTGGGAAGGTGAGGCAGAAGGATCTAAAGTTCAAAGCCAGCCTGGGCTACATAGTGAGGCTCTGTCTCAAAAAAAAAGTCTTACTAATTACAAAACAAAATAAAACTACGTGTAAAGATGAGATGAAATTCCACAAAGAAACTCCTCTAACATTTTGCTATTTATCTTAAAGACTTGTTTCATGAATATATGCATATCCTCTTACATGTAAAATATTTTTTCTTGGATTTTGTTAGCATATATTAATAGTACAAGGGGGATTCAGCTATTTCTATAAATGCAGGCAGGCTACTTTGAACAAGCTTACCCCCTATATTATATTCCCCTAATTTCCCTTAAAATATACATTTTAAGCCAAATATTTAAGACACATTAAAATTATTAATACATATACACACCTTTTACCCCTTAATACTATGTCAGTAAAGGTACACTTATGGTATCACTGTCATTGTTTAGTACCCTAATTACAGCCATACAATGGTTTAATTGATCCCCTGCATCTCCTTCTGTTACAAATTTAGGAATGTTTCTATTTTGATTTAAGAGATCAGCATACTCTCCTCAAGTCACATCTATGTCCTCTACGACACATAAAAATCTCAGCAAAGCATATCTTTGGGGTATGAGACAAAGGGCTCATTGCTAAATTAAAGGGATAAATTCTCTATATGGGATGTCACATAGAATGTTATTCTAATGGATAGATTTCTATCAAGGTTGCAAGACATACCTAAAAGGGAATGTGTAAGCATTCCCTTTCCTATCTTCAGGTTTCCAGTCTGTAAAAGACATCATGCTCATTCCTACACACAGGCCTTTGTACTCAAGGCTCTCTTACTTAAAAATTTTATTCCTGGACTGGCAGAGTTCCTCAGGTGGTAGAGCGCTTGCCTAGCAAGTGTGAGGCCCTGAGTTCAAACCCCAATACTACCACAAAAAAAAAGAAAGAAAAAAAAAACTTTACTCTTTCCATTCTGGATTCAAATCCTCCCTGAAAATTCTATTTCAGGTGTCCATTCATGTTAATGCTAAAACAGAGTCTGCTTCTTAAGGAAGTACGTGTCTAACACCAGAGACAGTCGTGGGAACCAGCAACTGTGGTGGAGTCAGGGGAGGCCGGGCTCCTTATAAAAACATTTCATATGAGAAGAGTTATGAGAGAAAGGAGGCAGGTATAAGCGAGAGAATGCTTTCCAGACTGGGAGAAAATCTGCAAACCAACAAAACAGTAGGTAATCTTGTATTCTTAAGAGAATCATGGATTGTTCAGTGTGATTAGAAAGAAAGGTCGGGAGGAGAGAAGTTGCCAAGGGCCTTTATGAAATGCTAAGAACAGTCTTCATGAGATTTTTGAATTGTCTTTTAGGCTAAGTAATTTTTGTTCAATTATTATAATCCTAAAAAGTTGGAGAGAAGCTTCCCTCTTTGTAAAATGTTAATTTTCTTCCTAGCACCTTAAAAAACGGCCTCCACAAGTGTTTTTCTGAACAAATGTGCTTTTCTCTAAATTTGTTAATCATGGCACAAGATGCCCCTGTGCATTTTCAAGTAGCATATGCTGTCACAGTTACTGTACTCTATTTCCTATATTAAAAAAAGTAGAGAACACAACTCCTGCCATAAAGACAACTAGACATCTGTCTTTTAGTTATCAGGCTTAATGTTAGCTAGAAAATGTCATGGTTTTATATTTGCCTTTGTATTTCTCAACTACTGTGGAACACGAAAATCTACAGTTCTTTAAATGTGGAAAGCTATTTACGAGTAATAACTAGTGAGGATGTAAGAGCACCAGTCAAAGGAGGAAAACCATTAGCAATGTGACTTTTTTCACAAAAAAATAAATTCAAGTGACCAATATGAGCTAGGCATGTGTCTGTACTCTTAGCACTCAGGAAGCTAGGCAGGTTTGAGGCCAGCGAGGGCTACATGTTGACATCCTGTCTCAAAAAAAAAAAAAAAAACACCTAATTTGAATAGCAAGCAAGAGACTCTGGGTTTGATCCCCAGTACCACATACCAAAACAAAAACAAAAGGAAAAGAAAAGAAAAAAACCCCACTAATTTCCAAAGTACACTTGGGTAATCACAATGCCAAAAAGAAAAAAGCCAGACATGTCTTAGAGCACCATGCGACTAAATGTTTTCAATTACAGTACCAAACAAAAGCCAAATATAACCGGATATAATGTACAGGCACACATTAGCATCCAACATTAAGTCAGGCATCTTCAAAAGACCATCTACA